GGTCAAAGGGTATGCACAATTTTATAGCCCTTTGGGCGTAGTTCCAAATTGCTCTCCAGAACAGTTTGGATCAGTTCACAGCTTTACCAATGATGCATTAGTGTTCCAATTTTCCCACATCTTCTCCAACATTTATCCTCATCCATTTTTGTCATGTTAGCCTATCTGATAGGTGTGATGTGATACCTTAGAGTTGTTTTGATTTGCATTTCTCTAATCAATAGTGATTTAGAACATGTTTCATATAACTATAGATAGCTTTAGTTTCTTCCTTTTAAAATTGCCTGTTTATATCCTTTGACCATTTATCAATTGGGGAATGACTTGTTTATATCCTTTCAAATTAGTTTTCCCATGTTTCTCTGAATTATTCATATTCGTTGTTATTTACAGCACAGATGTTTCATTATATTTATGGTACCAACATTTGTTTAGCCATTCTTCAAACAATGGGTAACTATTTTGTTTCCAGTTCTTTGCTACCACAAAAAAAAATGCTATGAATGTTTTGGGATGCATGAAATCTATATTTCTATCTTTAATTGTGATATAAGCCTAGTAGTAAGGTCTCTGGGTCAAAATGTATGAACATTTTAGTTGCTTTTTTTAAAAGCATAATTCCAAATTGTTTTCCAGAATAGTTGGACTGATTCACAGGACCACTAAGTGTATTAGTGTCAGGCTCTTCAGTTTTCCTGTTCAGAACCCTATGCCAGGTCCTAAGAGAGACACAAAGATGATGAATAAGAGACAACTATCATCCTCATGGAGATTATGATTTAGTAGGGGCATATAACCTAAACACAAGTAACTTAACAGTAGACAAAAATGTGCAGCAGCTGCTGCACAAGGTCTTGGGTCTGGGAGTGGGCTTAATATCTGGGAATTAGGAAAGGCTTAATAGAAAAGGTAGCATTTGAGCTGAGCCGTAAAGGGTGTGAATAGGATTTCAAAAGGTGGAGATTGGGAGGGAAGGCATTCCAAGCATAGGGGACTTCATAAGCAACAGCCTTAAGATAAAGGAAATTACAAGGATGTATGGAAATAATCCAGTTTTTCTAGAATACATATGAATATGTGTAAGGGGATAAGATGAGGTTGAAAAGGTAGGATGATACCAGATTGTGAGGAATCTTGAATGCCAGGTTAAGGAGTTCAGACTTTCTTTGGGAAGTATTAAGAATCACTGAAGGGTTTTGAGCAGAAGAGTGACATGACAGGATCTGTACATCAGGAGTATTAATCCATCATTGGTGTGAAAGGGCAAGTGGTGGGCAAGCAAGAAGAGTTAGGAGACTTCTTAAAGTAAAATACAAGGGTTAAGTGAATTGGGTAAGAAGCCACCTTTTTTCATTCAGCTAGTGGAGGGACATATCAGAACCACTAGATCTTATTTCCCACTTTTGATGAGATAGAACCTTGGTAAGAAGCAGTTCTTATTCTAAAAACTTGGTAGGACACAAATAGGAAGATACTTTGGTGTGCCAGTTCTGTCTTATACAGCACAGATAATTAGACCGAAGCTCATAAGCTACATGTGGCCCTTTTACAGGCAACTGGGAGTTAGTTCTTCAATACCTCTAATTTCTGTATTAGAACATAGTACATTTGTACTATATGACATACAGTAGGCATGTGGCCATTTTGATAAATAACCATAAAATTCTTGAAGGTTACATAACTGTTGCATTCCACTGCTTTAATGACAGTGGTGGTTCTCCTTTTTTCTGTAAGAATGTCTGAAACTGGCCATCTAGTCACCTTAAACATAGGACCAGCACATACTTAATGAATAGATAATAGAAGCCTGGCTCACAGCCACTGAGAAGGGAGAGAAAGAGGTTCAAGAGTAAAAATGGATTGGGGGTTCTGGTTTCTCTCCCAAAGGAGAGGGAGTCGGGGCATTGGTAGGAGTCACATTTGTTTGGGTTTTCCTTTTCTACAAAAGCCAAAATGTAAAATGATTAACCTAGAGAAATCAAAAGAGGGATCTCAAGCTCTGCTTACTACCTTTTGTGACCTTGGACAAGTCAATTAACTTTTATGGGCCTCAGAGTCCCCATAATGTAAATTGGTTAGTCTAGACCAGATAACCTCTAAGCCTCCTTCTAGCACCAAATCTGTGACACTTTCATTAAAGTCTCTGAATCTCGGCATAGCCCTTGGATATTTCAGTTGCCGCATACCTCAATTAGTATCAAGCATGCTAGTCACTGCCATTGAGTCCACTTTCCATCTTTGACCAGGCTAAAAAAACTTGTAAGTGTAAAATGTGAGGAGAGAGACAACTTGACTGCTGTAGGGCTTAGAGCCATCTAAACTTTCATAGAGAAGTTAATTATATATAGAATTCTGTGTCTCTTAGTGTGAATGATAATTTTTGCAGTCTTGAAACCACACTCCATATCCTCTTTCATTACATTCTGACAGTATTTTTCATGGCTAAATGCCCATCCAGATGCAGAATGTGAAGCTAGATTAGTACTGCTGCAAACTGGATTCAAACTGGAATTTGAAAAGATGAGTTGGAAGTGAAAAATTCAAAGTAGAATATCAAGTGGGTGACGGGAGTTATTTTAAAGGATATTAATACCAAAGAAAAGGCAACTAGATGGCACAATGAATGGAGTGCTAGCCCTGGAGTCTGGCAGACTCACCTTCCTGATTCAAATCTGGCCCGAGACACTTCTAGCTGTCTGACCCTGGGCAGGTCACTTAACCCTGTTTACCTCAGTTTCCTCATCTGTAAAATGAGCTGGAGAAGGAAATGGCAAACCACTCCAGTATCTTTGCCAAGAAAATACCAAATAGGGTCACAGAGTTGGGCACAACTTAAATTACTGAACAATATCAAAGAAAAGGGGAAAGGACCTATTTGTACAAAAATATTTATAGCAGCTCTTTTTATGGTGGCAAAAAATTGGGAATCAAGATGATTCCTATCAATTGGGGAATAGCTGAACAAATTGTGGTATGTGATTGTGATGGAATACTATTTTGCTATAAGAAATAATAAGCAGGATGGATTCAGAAAAACCTAGGAAGATATATATATGAATATATGAACTAATGCAAAGTGAAGTGAGCAGAACCAGGAGTACATGGTACACAGTAAGAGCAATATTGTAAGGATACTCAACTATGAAAAACTTAGCTGATAAATACAATGATCCAAGACAATTAATTCCAGAGAGAGAACTGATGAACTCTGAATGCAGATTGATGCATACTTAAAAAAAATTTTTTTTATCTTTATTGTTTGATTTTATTTGCGTCTTCTTTTGCAATGTGGCTAATGTGGACAAATGTTTTTTAATACCTCAAAAATTGAATTGCTTGCCTTTTCAAGGAGTGGAGAGAGGTGGGAAGGAGGGAGAGAATTTGGAAATCAAAATTTTAAAAAATGATTGTTAAAATTTTTTTACATGTAATTGGGAAATATTCAATGAAAAAATAAAGGGTATCAATAAAAATGATTTCAGTTAAAATTTTAAGGATGACTCTGGAAAGATGGATAGATTACATTCTTTGCAGATATAGAGAATAAAGTTAATTTTAGCTTAAAGTTAACTATTTAATGTTCACTTGTTTCAAAGTTACTTTTTAGTTTTTGCCAATCCAGTAATTCTTTAATTCTATTAACTGATATTTCTTTTTTAGTTGTAAGTTGACTGAATTTCTCACAAGCTGGCCCTTTGTTTGAGTAGGGGCCATAGAGAGCTTCCACAAGGATATCTATGGCTCCTGCCCTACACTATGACCTGACCTTACAGTTGTTAAGCTGCTCAACTAAATGAGACATGAACTCATCTGGTACCATCCAATGTTGGGGAATGGAAAACTTGATAAGTGGTGCTTTTTGATTCATTTCACATTCATATGTGAATTTCTCTTAGAAAGTTGTTAGCTTGCAGTAAGAACAGACCAATTGGGTTCTGACTTATTGCATCATTATAATTTCATGCAGAAATAACTTAAGAATTTAGGCTTAGAGAGATCTAGGAAATTAGGAGGAGCACTTTTGATTTAGCTGTACTTAAGTTAAGACAGTTGTCCCCCTAAAAGACATTTTTCTTGGATTTCAGGTGATTTCACGTCACACACGAGAGCTACTTGGAATTGAAGAACCATTATTCAGTCGCAGCATTTCCCTTCCCTACCGGGACAACATGGGCTTATTTTTGGAACGAAAAGCTCATTCTGGGGTAAAATCCGATGTTTTGATGCTATCTCAGTTTGTCAAAGAAGCAGGATTAGAACCAAAAGTCGAGCCCTGCCCCAAAAGAAAGAAAAAATCCTATAAACTTAGTTTAAAAGACCAAATTAAATTAACTTAGAGGAAGTGGATTTTTTCCCCCTAGCAAGAACTACTGGTTCTTTTCCTAGCTCTACTACTGATTCATTTAGCCTGCTGTATCACACTTTATTTCTTCTTTATAGTGAAGATAAGAATACTGATTTAATTGCATTGGGAATTATGATGGCTTTTAATGTATTATTCAAGTAATGCAGTCTGGTAGTATGAACAAAATGGGCTATAGAAGAAACAAGTGGGTTGAAATCTGTCGTTTATTATAGATTTGGGCCTTGAGTTTACCTAATACACTATACTGTGTAGTTTTGCTCAAGCATGTCTTAAATAGCAACTAGGTTAAGGTTCACCCATCTATGATTTCGTCGCAGAAGAAATTTTAAGTCAACTATTGCTGCTAAAACTGAATTAAGACACCAGTGTGGCTTCATAAACTTATACTGTTCTTTCTCCATTTTACTTTTAAAATCTTAAAACTCTTCTGGGGCTATACTAAGCCAGAAGGGTCTGTGACATCTACTCAAAAATCTTAGCATTTGGCTGAATATTCAATATATTATTTCCTCCAACTGAGAGAGAAGAAACTGTTTCTCAGATTGGCATTCGTGCCAGACATTACATTTGGATGAAATAGCTAATTTCCTCCCATGCTCAGCTAACAAGATTTAGTCTGAAAGTGCTCTAACATCACGCCACTGAGCTTGGCTGGCTCACAATTATGCAAAAGCCAAAATGTAAATGATTAACCTAATACCATGGAAATTTACATTTACACTGAATAATTTTGTTTCAGAGTCTGAGTTCTCAGACTGTACCATGTCATCTTGTCTGCCAACCTTGACACCATTACTATTACTACTGTTGTTTTTTATTTTGTTATCATTATTATTGGGGGGAAAAGATTTATAAAACATTTAGGAAGTAAATGTATTTGCACTTATTAAAATAAATATAACCTACTTAAAAAGAATGGTTCATTGAAACAACTTTTGACAGGACAAAACAAAAATAAAGTCTTATCTAGTTGAAATAAAAAGCATGAAGAGAATCAGAACTTGGTCAACTGGTTTGCCCCATCTCTTTATTTTATCACAGTGTTGTCAATCCATCCATTTTTCTTATTCTAAATATATTCCTATAGATTGCTTTGGGAAAGATGCTGCAGAATGTAACTATATTGACATTGGAATTGTCTAAATTTAGACTTTTGAACAAGAGTCAGTATCAAGAGACTGTATTCTTAGGTGAGTCAGGATGCTTAGGTTATCCTGGAGATTTCCAACAGACAAATTCACCACTGATTGAGGGAATATATGGTTTTGTCTTACAATTTTAAGAGCCAACAGTGCAATTTTTCCTTTTCCTTAGTGCTCAGTTTCTGGCAAACACAATACTATGACATGTTTCACCTTCTTGGCTTGGTATTTATCATCAAATAAATCAAAACCTTTCTATTTTTGTAAATCTACCAACAAGCTAATGCTAAATAAAGCAGCCACTACTGCCAGCAGTGAAAGTGAAAGGCCATCCTATTTAAGGGGCTGACCTGGGGAGCAGATCATGCTGGTCAGTCTGAAGATTTCCCAAGCAGCTGAAAAACTTGACTTTCAGGACTATGGGTCTAGAGCCTCCTCTTCCTCTTCTCCTTCTTTCTCTTCTCCTGTTTCTTGGGAAAGTGAGATACCAAATGAGGCAGAGTAAAGAACAGTTAAGTGTTCCTGAAGAGTCACACTTTTTCCTAGGTGCTGGCTAAAGGGAGTTTCCTTGAGTTGCACAGTGATCAAGTCAAACCAAGGGAAAACACTGAAAAAAAGAACAGAGGTATTATTAGTAGTGGTGCTGTTTTTGCTAGCAATCATTACTGTCTTTTAATACTCTTTTTTTTGGGGGGGGGGGCTAGGCAGTGGGGTTAAGTGACTTGCCCAGTGTCACACAGCTATTAAGTGTCAAGTGTCTGAGGCCAGATTTGAACTCAGGTCCTCCTGACTCTAGGACTGGTGCTCTATCCACTATGCCACCTAGCTGCCCCCTTTTTAATACTTCTTGATTTAACTGTTGAAGTTTTCCTTTGGAAGATAGCTTTCCTTCATTTGGAAGTGAGATATTCTATTTCCCATATGAACTAGTTAAAATATAGAGCTGTACTAGAAATTCTGCTGGAACTATTCAATGTATCGATTTCATTCTACTTAAAATGCCTTTTCCATTTTTATAGAACCTTTTAAGTGTCTTGAGGTCATACTTTATAAATAATGATTAAAATATGGCATACTTTGTAGTTTATTGTCTTATAATTAAGAGGCATGCATCAGGGAATTATGGACATCGAAGACAAAAAAGACCTTATTATACCTTTTAAAGTATTTAGAGGAAACAACAATTGTCTAAATTATCAGCTAAGGCAAAAGTCTGAGAGAAAACTAGACAAACCAGAAATGTCAGGCATCTGGCATCTTACTTGCTAGGATTTAGGGTGTTGGCAAAGGCTTGGTTGACAAAGTCTGTAACAATGAATCTTGGGCAATTAGTCTTATTCTCTCCACACGTCTGCGGATGCACAGAGAGACACAAGTCATTGAGAACCTCTAGCCCTTGTTGGTAAGGTATGTCCCATAACGTGCAGATATTTAGGGCTGCATAGAAGACTGCCGCCAGCCACTTGATGTTGAGAGTTATTCCTCCTATGTATCAATGAAGAGAGCAAATACAAGTTACCAGTTGTAAAGTGATAGGAAGGGAGCTGAGGCCAGGACCACCTGCTGAGGCAGGTGACCAGCCATGTGAAGATTAATCACCTCCCTGGGTCAAGGGTCCCAACTCTAATATTTATGATACATTCTAAGCCTAGAATATACTCCAGCAGGAGAAGCCTAATGATTCTTTAGGTTACAAGGAACAAAATCTTCTTCTGAAGAAGATTGTCTTGCTTTTAAAAAAAAATTTGAAAGATATAGAATGACATCTTTTTAAATTCTCAGAGCAATTTAGTCACAGATAATTATATTCTTCCCAGATTATCAGTACTAGAATGTTCCTGCTTGGCCTGGGGCAGGTCATTCTTAAAAAGTTAAGGAAATATAGTCAAGCTCCCCACTCCTCCCTTTAGAAAGTTGCCTTTTTAACAACTGATAGACTGTCTCTATTAAGCCCTGGGGACACGAGAGAATAATAGTTCTGTTTCTCCTCCCAATAATGGAATGTAACAGGAAAGAACAGGTGGAGGAGTGGAGACATTTTGCAGGAGTACAGAAAGCTTGGTGAACTTTTACCATTTGTGCTGTAAGGAGAAGTGGCCTGAACTATCTCAGGATCTTGAAGTGCAGACTTGATGTCCTCATTGGACCCCCATATATCAATATAATTTTCAGCACACTGATACTGGGGGCGCAAGATAGTGGTGTGGCATAGCAGCTGCTTCAGCCTAGAAGTAAAATCACGGTGCCCATTCAGAGGCAGTAACAAAAGGAAGTGCATGACAGAATAACAGCAATAATCATAAGAGCCACCATTGAAGTTTACAGTGTTTTGTTTTGTTTTTGATTAGGCAGTGGGGTTAAGTGACTTGCCCAGGGTCACACAGCTAGTACATGTCATGTGTTTGAGACAGGATTTGAACTCAGGTCCTCCGGAATCCAGGGCCGGTGCTCTATCCACTGCGGCACCTAGCTGCCCCAGGTTTACAGTGTTTAACAAAAATCTTATTTGATCCTCACAACAATCTTGGGACTGGGACTGAGACTATGATCATTACTGGGACTGTTAATAAGTAGGTATTAGTACATTCTCTATTTTGCAGATGAAGAAGCTGAAGCTGAAGGGGTAAAATAACTTGTTCAGGACTACACAACTTGTTAGTGTGTGAGGCTGGATTTGAACTTGTGTCTTGCTGCCTCTTCCAGGTATCACCTAGCTGGCCCCATCTCAGGACTAGAAATAAATTAGTTATCCGACTTAGTAGTACAGTTTGGGTTCCCATTTAGTTCTAGCAATAAATTCTGTTGCAAAACATCACGCAGAAGTAAGCAGTCTAGCAGGGCACTCTTTGCAGAATGCCTAAAAAGAATGGAAGGATTAAGAAAGCGTGACTTACTCCTTCTGCAAAGCAAAGCAGTTTCCATCTTAAAAGGAATCCTTACTCTATTTGAGTAAGAGATTGGACCAGATAGTACAAGGAGGCAGAGGGGATATAGCTCTGTTAGATGAAAACTCCATCTGACTCAAGGATTCTTAACCTTTTCTATACCATGGACTCCCTTGCAGAATAATGTTTTTAAATGCACAGCATAAAATACATAGGATTGCAAAGGAAATCAGTTATACTGAAATACAAGTATACGACTATCCTAAAAAGCAAATTCAATGGATTCCAAGTTAAGAACCACTGATCTAGACTCTAAAGTAGTTACCTAGGCAGAGGGACAGCAGTAACCAGGCTATACACAATGCAGGACTTCGCAATTCTAGTGTTGATTTCCAAGCAAATATGAGGCAGCTGGGATGGCAGACAGCAGAGGAAGACCAAGTTGGCCCACTCTACCAGAAAACAGTTATGGTAAAAGCACTGGATCCCCATCTTCTGCAGGTCACCTGACAGGAACAAAGTGGAAAAGAGAACCAAAGCACTTTGGGTTAGGCCTCTTGGCAGAGATCGCAGGGAAGTTTGTATCTAAATTTTATGGTGAGGAAATGTTTATAATTATTTCAAAATCAGCCCACATAAGTCATTTCCTCTGACTCTTGTCTTCAAAAAATCTATTGCAGCAATGCACTAACCCCATTATTAGAATGTCTGCCTCCACAGTTACAGTTTTATAGGTGATGGAATCAATCTTCCTCATCCTACTTTCAAGGAGCACTTAGAACTTCTCAGAATTTTTCCTTTGAAGGAGGAGTTTCTTATTGGCTGTCATCCCTAAAAGGATCTTTTCAGGGGGAAATGAGTAGGGAGGATTGGGGAAGTGGTGGTAGAAGATGAGGGGTGAGAGGTTCTGAGTAGGTGAGAAAGATAGAATGTTTCAGAAAAATATGTACACTATTAAATGTAGATAAAACTTTTAACAAATGAAAAAATGTCTTCATTGATACTACTGAGTACCCTGGGCAAAGTCACTTAACCTCGATTGGCTCACCAAAAAAAGATACTCCTGAGTGATAAGACCACTAGGTGGTATCAGTAATGTCATTCTACTGGCAATACGGATTATCTTAAAGCAGAAATTTTAAATGGAAGACTCATGTCTGATGTATTAATAATGTAGTTTTGAAAATATTATTGAAAAACTGAAGATGTTATTGATATTGGTAATAGGAATTTTTATGGAGGGAAATTTTATCAAAAGAAAGAGTACACTGAACCTAGATTTCACTGGTATAGGAAATTCCCCATTGAAGGGATTCCCTCTACCAATGAAGGTGAGCACTTTCTCTGCAACTGAAACACCTTAGAGAGCTGCTCGAGGCACTGAGAGGTTACATGATTTACCGGGGTCACACAGCCAATGGGACATAGGTAAGACTTGAACCAAGTTCTTCCTAGCTTTTAAGCCCAGCTAGTTAAGCCCTATATCACATTGCCTCTAAAAAGAGTAAAGCAAAATATAAAAATAAATTCTAGAACAATCATCAAAATTTATGTAAATAAAGTCTCATGAGAACAGATACATATATGCCAATGTAAATAATAACATTTTCCAAAATGGTAGAAGTTGATGGCAAACATTTTCAACATTTGCTTCCTAAACTATGTACTTTCCTATCCTAACACCATCGTTTACACTAAAAATATGTGTTGTTTACAAAATATATATTCATTTTATTGAAATGGCCCTACAAATTCTTTATATTGCTTTATAAATGTAGGATTAGGAAGCTTGGCCTAAATAGAAAAACCCAAAATTCAAGTTCAAATTTTTTTTGTCACTAACTTAGAACAGAAGCTAAGAATATGAAAACAATGACCTAATTGTATATATTAGAAACTTCTTTGCCTGGAAGCATTTTCCTCTTGCATCAAGAACCCAGAAAGCTACACTGACATTATGTCAGAAGAGAAAAGAGACATAAATAATGAAAGTGCAACAGGAATAGTTTCAGTCAAGGGACCTGCCTTGGAGAAACAAATTAGAATATTATTTTCTATTTTATTTTGGGGACAGGAAGGCAAAAGGTGTTTGCTGTATAGGATCCCTTAGTCCCTCCAAACTTCTTACTCAGGGTCTCTGGCCTCCTAGTGGAGATATGAAGGCTCTGGGCAGGGATGGAGGCTCGGTGGAGTAACACTAGAGCCAATTGCTTTCCCAGTCGTCCTCCTCCAATGATGCCCACTTTTAGATCTCTTTTGGAGGGTTTTTTATATGGGTTTTCCTTCTCCTCCTCTGATGGTAGCATCGAGACTGAGGTGTTCCCATCCATTTTCCTGGGGGAATAAACAAGAACACAGGTAACTTTCAGCTGTCCTACAACTTCATTTCCAGAAGTACATTAATCTAGCTTCCTTATGTAGAAATAACTTCAAAGAAAATGCATTACAATGACTTCTCATTTATCTGGCACCATCAGGAAATGAACTGTGAATTCTCCAGCTAATAAAATTTTTTTTTCCAAATTCACAAAAGAGAATCCCTTTAGCATCCAAAACTTTTATTTACTCATTCTGGTTGGGCATTTTTCTAAACATAAGTATGCATTTCTGCCTTCTTAGGCACAATTTGATTACTATTACTGTATTCTAGCATAGTTAGGCACCTACTTTGTATTTTTCAATTCCTTTCCAGTCAGGCTACATGGGTCAACTTCTTAACAACCCACTTCCATCACACAAACCTGCTGCTACTGCTGTTTTTTTATGTTCTATGAGGTAGAAACTTTCCCTTAAGTCCTACTCCAATGGCACAGATGTGACCCTAGGTTACACCAGTAAAGCCCGAACTTTGACAGGTTCAACACAAAATTGGAAAGGTTTTGAATAATAGGCCTAGGTGATATTTGTCAGCCACAACATCCTTGTGGAGAGGTGCCAATCTGTCCATTCTGGTGAAGGAATAAGGGAGTACCCATGTTAAGGAAATCAGCTTTTGAAGTGTTATTGAACTAAGAAATGGCCTAGCAAATACATAACCTAACTTGATAGAACTGTGTGATAATTAAGAATGTAAATAAAGACTGAATAAGGGCCTTAGGACCTTTCCTACAGAACTCAAGTGCCTAGATTTAATAATCAGGAACTATAATAGCTATTTGTTATATTCATAAGCCTTTTTCAATTCTACTTTGAGATTGTGTTAGCAAGAGTTGAAGTTACAGAGTCTGAACGTTAGATAAGGAGTACTACTGGTATCTTATTATGGTCAAAAAACTCTATACCAACTCTGTGCTTCGCTAGTGATAGAACCATTGGGTTTCCATAGTCACATCAAGTACAGGATTTACTTAGGGCTCTTCTCCTGACTGAGAAGCAACTAGGTGCCTATCTCATCCCCACTATAAAGAAGCCCCAATCAAGTTTACTATTTGATTTCTTATTATTCCCCCCAGACCTAGTGAGGTCCTGTAGTCATATCAATCGTCATTATTGTGCCCCTGTTCTATGCCCACTGCCTGGGTGCATAGTATTTAAGCTAGATGCTTTAGGGCGGAGGTATCAAACACTGGCCTGTGGGCCACATGTGGCCCCCAACCCTCTTGAGTGTGGCTCAAGCCAAATTAAAATGTAGTTTGTGATTTTAATATATTGATATATTAATAAAATGCATGTATCTATATGTGTGTGTGTATATATATATGCATGTATGTATATAAAATGTGTGATTTTCTAAGTCAATATGCAGCATATAGAGATCTTTATGTATGGTTTAGTGGCCCCTATTTCTATTTTAGTTTGATACCACTGCTTTAGGGCAGAGAAAAACATCTAGATTCTCTTTCATCAAGGTGGTAATAATTTAATTTCATAGAGGGCAAGATTGAGGCACAAGGAAAAAATGACCTTGAATTGCAAACTCTAGGCATGATTTGAAGGCCAGCAACGGACATCTGACTCACCTACATCTCTTATCTAAGCAACCTGGAAGCCCAGGCACTTGGAAGGAGTAGGAGACACCAAGAACCTTGGGATCTTTTTGCCTCAAATAAAGAAATCCATCTAAATCAGTCTAAATGTCACCACCCTTGGAAAAAGGCTGAATTAGATGATTCTAATTCTCTGAGTCCCAAGGACTTTCTTATAGAGAAGGGCTCCAGCACTATCTCTAGACAAGAGAATGAACCCAATCCTTACCAAAGTGACAAAATAGTGTTCATGCTAGTGCAAATGAGGGAGACATACTGATGGCTGGGTTCTGAGTCTAACAGATCCACTCCGCTGCATATAAACTGCCACTAGTTTGGAATCTCAGGTAAGTGGCTTTGGATATGGAGTAGCATGGTTCATGGTGGCTGTGGGGTAAACCAAGAAGGGCAAATTGCCACTGCTTAAGTAAATTCCTCCTAAGATCAGGTCTTGGACCTCATCTGCTGTCAGTGGCGTCCAGATTTTTGTCGGGCCTAACTCACCTCAAGGCCCAGAGTAGTCTGCAGAAAAATGCTGCATGGGCACAGGCTTGGATCATCAATCCTCGGGAACGGCTCTGAAGGAACAGCCAAGGGGTCTCTTCCTCTCGAACCCCCTGCTCAAATTGCAGGGACTTCAGATTGTTCATCAGGTCTACAGTCTCCATATCTTCCTGTCCCTACCAAAACAGGTAATCAGTTTGTCTGACTGTCCAATCTTGAAGGGAATGAAAGTCTCTAATGATTAAGTTTGTGTCCCTCTCTCACCAGTACTTATGATTCGGGGCTAGTCATTCCATCCTGTTCCTCAGGACTTTGTGGTCTAATCCAGTTCTCTAAATGAACAGAGGTCCTGGCACATTTCTAATCACTGATTGAGCTCACATACCCAGGGCTGCCATGTCTCTTCTGTCCTGGAGAAGTAGAAAAGAAAATGCCCTATATGCCTATAGCTCTTCAGATTCCTCCACCCGCTGAGCATTTGGGAAACAAGTTGACAATCGGTATACATTTCCAAATAACTCTCTCCTCTCATTAAACTTCATGATTTCTATGACATTGAAAAAGAACCAAAAGGCCCTTATATAGTTTGGATCCAGGCATGAGCAGAGTGGTAGGACATATACAGACCCTTTCATATCTCACCTAGCAGAGTAATGAGCTGGAGATTTTGTCTGCTCCACAGCTTTTCCTCTCCTGGACAACAGAATCCAAATAGATCTTTTGGAGTTACCCAGGAAAGTTGTCATGGTTACTCCTTAGCTACCACATTACTTTAGTCTCTGAATCTTAAAGGGGCCAATTCTTCCCAAAGAAATCACTACATTCTCCCCAGACAGTAATATGGGCTTATCTAAATGCTACTAGGTATATTCAAATAACCCTAATAATATTGTCCTCTAATGTATTTCCCAGCCATTTCTTCACATGTCCCCAAAAGATTAATGAAAAATTCCAGATCTGTAAGCCTCAATGGCTAAAGCCCTACATTCTATTTTATCAATGGAAAAAAAAACTGATGCACAAAAAAGTAACTTATTCAAAGTCTTAAGGCAGTGGGCAGACTAAGAGTGCAACTCAAAAGGGATTCTAATTTCTCATCTCTTTAGGGGAACCCACTGTACCACCCTGCCAACCTCTCCAAAAACAAGTCTTAGCAAATTGGAGGTGGAATATAGGCTTCATGAGGAGTAATAAGTGCTTAGGTAGTTGGGTCTTGGGATAGGACTTTGAATAATCAGTACAACCCGCAGTTCACTTACCCTCATGTATTAGAGATAGGCCAGAAATAACCAGCCATCAATATGCCCAATGTAGCCCACATAGTCCACAAGAAATTAACTTGATCTGATCAGTCAACACCCTGGTCAGCTTGTAAAAATGCTCTGAAATGGAAACAGCTTATCAAACTTAACTCTATCTGCTTGGAAATTGGAAATAAATACCAATACCAGCTTAGTAAACTGGACTCTTGCCTTTTCAGCTATTAGAGGCAAGACTAGGGGAATGGTGGGAAGAACTAAACATGAAAGGACCAGCAATGCAAAGACTAAGTGGAAGGACAGACTATGTATCTTCTGGAGATGCAATGAAAACATGGTGTATGTGCATGCCTCTAATTAAAAAACATTGATTTGGCAGATAAATTGATTCAGTCAGAAAAACCCTCTAGGTCCTGTGGCTCTGACATAGATCATGCGATCCTGGGTAAGTCACTCAGTTTCTTAGTGCCCCCAACATTCTTAAGACTTAGAAGCTGTAGAACAGTTGTCATAGTGGTGGAGGGTATTTACTTACATGGAGAACCCCACACCGATGAGATCATAGGTCTGGACCAAAACTCTCCCCCCAAATGCTTACAGTGTGTGAGGCATTTTGCTATGCATCCATGTGTATCATCTCTGTCCCTCCTGCCACGTCACATACCGTGTGGTCACCAGAGTCAGAATTTTTAGTTGGAAGAAAGACCTTAGAAATGATCCAGTCCAACGCCCCCTTCATTTGACCAGATAAAACTGATGCCCAGATTCATAAACTGACTTGCTTAGGGTCATGTCACTAGAATCTTTTGATTTAGAAGGAAACTAAGAAGTCAATGAGTTCAACCTCTATCCAGTGAATGAATCCTTCAGTCATCTAGCTTCCTTTTGAATGCCACTAGTTAATGGCAAAGCTAACTAGAATCCTCTAACTCGGAGGCCCGTGTACTCTCCACTATGCCACCCTACTTCTCTACGTTGTGCTATCTCCATAATGACTATACATGTTTTGAGGGAAGTAGGTATGTTTTTGTTCAGTTGTTTTTCAGTGATGTCTGACTCTTCGTGACCCCATTTGGGGTTTTTCCATTTCTTTTTCCAGCTCATTTTACAGATGAGGAAGCTGAAGGGTGAAGTGACTCATCCACGTCACACAACTAGTTAATATCTGAGACTGGATTTGAACTCAGGAAGGTGAGTCTTCCAGACTCCAGGCCGGCACTCTTATCTACTGTCCTTTAGGGGAAGTAGGTGTACAGAACCACTAACTTGGGGACTGACTCGGGACCACCCCAACAAAAAGGGTTGTGAGGTTCATTCTGAACAGAATGGAAGGAAAGAAACAGAAGGCACCTAGGGAGGCAGAGAAACAGCTTTATTAAGAGCTCTGACAGGAGTGAGAGGAAACTATGCTTGGTGCAGAGCAATAATCAAGCATTGTAGGATGCCCCTGTGAAAACCAAGGGTGAAAAAAATGACCCCCCCCATCACAATCCATGGTAGATCAGAGGCAGGACCAAGTCTGGGTCTATCCCAGATAGATCTACCTACAGCTCCCAATAAAGGATAGAGAAACCAAAGAGAGTATTTCCCAGCATTGCTGGAAATTGGAAGGTGCTACATCTGACTTCTAAACAAAGCCTTAGGTCTGGGGTAGGAGAAGAAGAAATAATGGGGATCTGCTCTCATCACCAGCATAAGAAGGACCCTCAGTGTGCAAGAGAAAGCTACCACAATCTCTTGGGACAGTAGGTGAGGTGGTGTAGCAGAGGAACACTTGCTGGAAAAACTACTTCAAAGGGCATGGTAAAAATGAACGTGAATTGGTCATCATTGTCGTATTCCCTGCAAATCTTCAGCGCCCTCGTTCTGCTTCTGTGATGTAGAGGCATCTGGTCTTTGCCTTTTGACTTGGAATAGTCACTGTCCAACCAAATTCAGTTCCACCACCAGCTGACAAGAAAGCTTCCAGCTCCATGATGACTGACACTCAGTCCAGGGCACCTCTTTTCTGAAGCAATCATCTCAGTTAAAGCAAGAATGAGCCCTCAGAGTCACAAATTTGAAAATGCCTCCCTCTCGACCTTCACAAAAGCACCTAGTCAGTAGGGTCTCACAAATCACAGCTTTAAGATTCAGCCATCATGTGTCCTCTGGTGTGAGGCTCAGTTTGAAGATGTTCTGGTCTAAGTGCTGATCTGTCCCAGGCACAGGCTCTGCCTTTTGGTGATAGGCCCAAATGATGTGGCTTACAGTACCTCTCCCTGGAAGAGTTCCCCACTCCTCTTTGGGGGACAGGAAGAGGGCAAACAGGAAGGTTCCTTGGTTCACTATTTTCCAATTAGTTCTTCCATCGAATTTGCTGCAAAAAGCAGACAATGCAGGAATCTGGTCAGTATTAATCTTTAGGCAAAGCTGTATCCCTCTAGAAAGACTATAGAGAGATAGCAAGGCAAGACATCTCCAGGCAGAGTGAAGGAAAGGGAAAAAGAATTCTCCCAGAATATTTTGTTCAAGGGGAACATTACATTTATCTTTGTAATCCTCAGGACTAGTTAGGCTGGTACTCCCCCAGGTGAAATTTATAAAAATGAAAAATCCTGGTTGTGGAAAATTACCACAGAGCAGGCCCAGAAAGTATCTAAATAGAGAATTAAATGTCATAGTCCCTCCGCCAGTCAGCCACCATCACTAAACAGATGTAGTCTGTTTTACCTATTTGTCATCACCATTGTAACCCGGTTCTACTTATTAAGATTCTGGACATTTTGGATCTAGTACCTTGAAACTACTACATTGTAAATACCCTCGATTCTTCTTCCTGTCCCAATTTAGTCTTAACCCTAGGCACACCAATTGAGGACCAGCTCAAAGACCCCCAGAGGAACTATTACCTTCATAAGATAACCCTAAATTTCATTCCAAACCTCAAAAGAAATCCTGCTCAAACCAAACACTGCTGGTACCAAGACCCATCTGAAAGACTATTACTCAATCTGCTCAGACAACTGCTGTTCTAACTAGGTCTTGGGAGGGAGCACCCCTCTGGGGGCTCTTTTGTGAACAGTTTGTCTCCCGAGGCTGACAGAAAGTCAAATCCAAGTTGCTTACCGTACTACTGAGAATGCTGTCAATCTTCTCCTCTTCTGCAGACGCTTTATCCACCTTACACCTGTAAGCTAGTAACTGCTGCCGATCCTTCAGATCCCGATATGTCTGAGCAGCAAGACAAAATAAACCATCTATTTTGTTTTCTTACTACCTCCCTAAGTGAGCCTACCAGGAATAAAGTTTGTGGTGGTTATAGTGGAGTTAAATAATAATAATAATAATTAGGGAGGGGCCTCAACAGAGCCATGTGGAGAAAAATTGGGGAGAATAGCCTGGCTAGCTTAATCCAAAACCTTGCTTTCCATAAACCAACTCACTAGAGGATATACAGCAAATTGTCAAGGCAGCCGAAAACAGGCCCCAGGAAACCCGGCTTCCAGTCCAATTTTCACCAGGCCACATGATCCAATATACAGAATGCAAACAACTAGGGAATTAAGGACAGTAAATACAATGATCCACCTTGTATTCTTCTTCAAGGGCCTACTGAGGGTTTAACCCAGAAGCCCTTTTCTTCTGGGACTTACTTCAATGACAACATCATGGCACTTAAATTTGGTAGCCAGATTCAGCTTTGTGTCCACATCTTCCACAAGTCGGATATACTCCTGTAAGACCTGTGGGAGAAGAGACATTAGAAGTCTGTGAACTTCTAAGCCAGTAAAAACAGAGATTTAATAGTAAGTAGTGTACAGTATAGAGTAAAAAGTACATTTGTAGTCAGAAGACAAGATTTAAATCCTGGTTTTGTGCTCTGTAGTTATGTGGCCTTTGGCAAGTAACTTCTCCAAAATACTGTTTCTTCACCTCCAAAATTATATTGATACCTCACTACCTATACTTTATAGGGTTCTTGCAAAGATTAAATGTATATAATTTGTAAGAATAAGCATTTTACACACAAACACACACACACACGTAAATATATATGAATTGATGTTTCTGCACAAATAAAATTAGTTAGAATTAAAAGTGAAACATTTAACTGGGGAAAAAATCTGACAAGGGCTGTCAAAGGACATGAACAATAGTTCTTAAAAGGAGAAAGGCAAGCCATCAACAACTATATGAAAAGATGCTCCCAATCACTAATGAAAAATGTAAATTAAAACACTTCTAAGTTATTAGAGGGGCAGTGGGAAGATGGTTACACTAATGTATTGCTGTTAGAGCTGTGAAATGGTCCAACCATTCTGGAAAAGTGATTTGGAGCTCTACCCATTAGAGTTTAAGTCATTATATTGTGTATATCCTTTCACCCACAATACCACTCTTAGGCCTATTCCCAAAGAGATCAAAGAAAAATGGGAAAAGAGCCTAAAATATTTACTGCAACACTTTTTGTTGCATCAAATAACTAGAGACTAAAGAAGTACCCATCAACTGGAGAATGGTCGAACAAATTACGGTACATAAATATAAGGGGATATTATTATACCTTAAGAAATGACAAAATGGGGGCAGCTAGGTATCACAGTGGATAGAGCACCAGCCTTGGATTCAGGAGGACCTGAGTTCAAATTTGGCCTCAGACACATAACACTTACTAGCTGTGTGACCCTGGGCAAGTCACTTAACCCCACTGCCTAACCAAAAAAAAAAAAGAAAAAAAGAAATGACAAAATGGATGGATTTGGACAAACCTGAAAAGACTGGTAAGATATGTGATGCAGGGTGCAGTGGAAAGAACTAGTAGAACAATTTATAAAATAACTGTACTGTAAAAGAAAACAGCTGTGAAAGAACTATGATAAATGAAATGGCCAATTACAACTCCAGAACCCTGATGAACCATGCTTTTGGCAGAAAGGTGATGAACTAGAGGTGCAGAACAAGATATACATTTTTCAGACAATGTGTGAATTTCTTTTGGGAGATATACTTATATGAAGAAAGCTTTTTATTTTTCTTTTCTGAGGAAAGAAGACAGTAGGGAAGTAGTGACCATAATATAAAAACGGGATGAAAAGAAAAGCCCATCAATGAATCATCAAAAAAACAAAACAAAGAGAACAAAAGGAAGTACAGAAGAGGACAGAGAGAAGCAGAACAACGTTGAAACTGCCACATTTAAATTTGAATAAAAAAAAAAGTTCTATGTAATAGGGAAAAAAACATCAAACTACACATAACAAAGTTCAATTTCATATACAATCTCTTTTTGTTTTTTTTGGCATACTGCAATGTTCATTTTTAAATTCTTACTAAATTTTTAATAAAAAAGAAAAAAATTAAAGAGAGATGGAATGGATTTTAAATCCCTCTCTATGCACCTCAAGGGGGGAAAAAAAAGTCAGTCATACGTTCTCCCTGGAGTCTTAACAGTCAGAGCAGGCCAAGCTCCAGATCTAACATAAAGCTACGTCCTTGATACTCCCAGTGAGCAGTCTTTCTGTCACGTAAACATTATGCCAATGCTCCCTCTAGGATTCAACACAGCCAAATATTCCTAAATACTTCAGAGAAGTTACTTTCTGGGATGGATATATTGTATCTACTTCTAAGGGGCAGAGTGACTTTCTTTCTTCAGAAAGCACCAATGCTACAGTGTTTAACAACACACTTGGTCTCATAACAGAAAGATCAGCACTGACTAGGAGGCTCAAAGTCAGAAGGGACTGTGCCTTGAAGTGTTCTGCATGCAAATGCTTCCCACAGAAACTCCACCTGTACGGGGGCAGTGTTCTTGTGCAGAATTTCCACAACCCGGTGGAAGCCAATGGGAGCTCTCTTCTTGGTGTACCCCAGCCAATTCTGAAACACAAACAGAGACATGAGAAACACTTAGACCCAACCTTCTGTATTAAAGAAAGAGAGAAAGGTGAATAAAAGGACAAAGACTTCGAGGGGAAGAGGACAGAGAAAAAGGGAGACAGAGAGAAAGAACAGTGGGGATGAGTTTCATAAAACACTTGCATTGAAGGACAAGAAATAACCAGAAGCCGGAAACATAAAGAACGTTCTCATGGAGAGATGGAACAGAAAGGAAGCAGGGAGATCAGGCATCGAAGTACAGTCCTAGGAAATTAAAAGTGCACATCACAAACCGAACTCTATGCTTGAAGTTAAGAGGAATCTTTGCAGTCACTGGACAATCAAGTGATGTTATCTCTTCCAAGGTAAAACTAAGCAAGTGAAAGTTAAAGGCTCCAGGGTACCTACCTTAGTGGTGAAGAGGGCATCCACATCCTGCCATGCTCGGAGTTTGGCACGGGCAGCCAGCGCTGTCAGTACATACTGCTTATCAGGAATCTGGAAAACAAACATACGGAATCAAGGAGATTGAGGAGTGGCAGGAAGCAGCAATGGCTTCAAAGGGGAAGCTAATCAGCTGTTTCGTAAAGTTGATAAGCAAGCAGCTTCCTTACCACAGTGAGGTCTACACATCCTGTTTGAGACCAATTTTCTGGAGATGCATATGGATAAGAGGTTTTTTGCAGGGTATAATAAGGAGCAAAGATAGGGTGAGGGTGGGACCAAATGGTTGAAAAATATAACTTCTATAAGTTTGGGGTTATGATATTCTCTCTATCATTACATTCCTACTTATTAAAGGTCAGCGGTTGGAAGAAGATCATGTGAGAAAAATTAGGAAATTCCCACTGAATGAGGACTGAGTAACCTATCCTTCCTTGTGGTCCATGAAAAAGGTGGTATAGTAGAAGGTTCTTGCTAACTTTAGGAGCTTGTTTTAATCACTCAATCAATAAACATTCATTACTCTTCTACTATGTATTAGGCATTGGGGATACAAAGATAAAAAACTAATCAATCCTTACGCTCAAGAAATTTACATTTTGTCAAGATGGGGGGTTGGGAAGTGGGAAAGGGTGAGTGTGTGTAGTATAAAGAATAAAAATAAGATAGTTTAGGGAGGGAGAGAACTGGGGAAGTTGGGGGAATCAGGAAAAGTATTATGTACAAGATGATGTGTGAGCTGTATTTTCAAGTAACGGATTTTATGAGATGTAAGTGAGGAGGAAGAACAAGGGGAAGACTGCCAGTCTTCCATGGAGCCATGAAGGTGGGAGATAGATGCAGAGGATAAGGAACAAGAAAGATAGTTTGCTTAGACTGTGGAATGTGGAAAGGGAGTGATGTATAACCTGATTTGAGAGACAGGTTGGAGCCATACTGTAAAGGACCTTGAAAGCCAAAGAGGAGTTTATATTTTATCTTACAGACAACAGGCATTCCTGAAGTTTATTGAGTTGAAGAGTGCCACAATCTGAGGTGTGCTTAAGAAAAATCATTTTTCCTTGAGCAACATCTACGTAGGGGATGGAGTGGAAAGGAGGAGAGAAACTTGAGCTAGAAGGCTCAATCAGAAGGCTTTTGCAATAGTTTAGACCAAAGGCAATGAGGGTCTGAACCAAGGTGATAACTGTGTGAGGAGTGAGATGGAGTTTGATATGAGAGATGCTGAGGTAAAAATGGCAAGATTTGGCAACTGAATGGACATGTGGAGCGAGGTGGAGTGGGGAATGAAACCTAAAACTGAGGTTGTGGATCTGGGAGACCAGAAGGATGGTGGTACCCTCAATACAACTAGGGAAGTTCAAAAGAGAACTTCCTTGATTGCTGGTTCTAAATAAGTCTCAACAACTCTTCTCAACCTTTCCATCATCCATTTTTCCTTATTCCTACTTCATATTTTCCCTGATGTGGCTGCTATCAAAAAACTATTCATTTATACTTACCTTAAAAGTTTTTTTCAGATTGATGGGACTGCTAAATGTTCCCTGGAGAAAAAATAAGAAGGAACATTATTGTGTTTGCTAACTGTCCTATAGATTACAGTAACTCTTTCAGGCTGGACAACTTCTCATTTTCTCTTCCTATCTCCAAGACTTCCTACATTTCATTTCATGACTTCTTGAGTTCAACATATAAGCACAGCAAATCTATTTAATCTATCACTACAGTTCAGCTACATGAAGACTGGTTTGAGAACTTCAATGCCTTCTCCAATTCTTCAATGAGCCCTAAGTAATGGGAAAACTGACACTCATTAAAAATATTATTAAAAACATCTTCACGAAATCAGAAGTTGTATCGGCACTCATACCTAGCTCTCCTGTCTCTCTACCACCCAAAATCTATCTTCCCCTTTGAATTGCCCTAATCTGAAAGAGTTATCCCCTTTGAACAGAGGTTGCTGTGAAGACTAACAGGCAAAGTAAACCACACCAGACTCTTGATGCCAGATTGCTGAAGGTACGCCAAGTGAAAACATCCTCCTGCCTGTCCAGTGACCCTTTGAGAGTAAGACAACATCCAAACCTACTCATAAAATTAATATTAATATCATATTTCATGTGTCCCAGGCGAAGAACTCATGAGAATTTGGACATTTATCTCCTAAATTTTACTTTCACATACCTCAGGCTCTGTGTAGTGGTAGAAGCAGGAGTAGAAGAGAGTTGTCACCAGCGGCATGTTGAGGATGGAGGCCTTTCTTGGATGTTTCCGGAAGATTTCTGTCTGCCCTGAAGATTCTAGATGTCGGTCATTCACCTAGCCAAATGGGGCCAAGAGAGAGAAAAGGAGAATAAAACTCATAGGTTATATAAAAGAGAAAACTCATATTACAGAAAAAGAAAGAGAAAATATTAAATCCAGGAAAACAGTTAAAACAATTCAGGCCAATGATCTCAAGTTGGATCCAGAAAAGCTATAGGAAGACAGCATGCTGAGGGAACATTCTTCAGGGTACTCAGGAGAAATAGAAAAAGGAAAAAATGGCTTAGAATATAAAAAGGGAAAGACATAGAATTCTTAGAGACTGGCTACCTAACAGGGTAGCTGAATAAGAGGAATTATGTTTGGAGGCAGAAGGTTCTAGAACTCTCCTTGGTGCTAAATAGAAATTACAATGGTGGGAGAAAAGGCCTTACAGGCTTTGAGACAGATAAGGCAAATGGGGATTCTAACCTCAATGATGATCTGTCGTTCCAGGAGTGTATAATGGTCTTGAACATGAGCAGCATCTTCCACTGAAAATGGTAAACTGGTAAAAGGCCAGAAGGTTAGTACTTCTCTTCAACTACAGGTGTCACTCTCCCAAAGGATGAACAAAACCAAATTATAATTAGCACCTTTACCTAAGGAATTCTTAGTGCTTCAAGATACTAATATGTCTATAAAGATTTCTCTAACAAATGCTTTCTATATCAATAATAATAATAGCACCACTATATTTGAACCCCAATCACCACAGTCTATAATGCGCTCAATGAAGAAATTTCACAAAGACAGGAAGAGGAAGTCTATGCTAATATCAACACAATTTTGAGGACACTGAGGCATAAATTCTCAAACTATCCAAAAGAGAGGAAGACAGCAAATATTAGAAGAAAAAAAACATGGACTTAATTACTGGGGGGAAAAAAGTGAATGAAAAATGTCTAAAACTACCAACTCATATACTTACTTTACCATTTCTGCAAAATCTTCATAAGAATTATTGACAAAAGGCATTAAGGACATCCCTGATTTTATCTTATGAGAAGGGAACAGATTGGCTTATAAAAATGATATCCCACTGCAAGTGACATTTTTACAGATAGACAATTGACTGAAAGGTGAAGAGAATAAAAGGATCACACTATGAATATTGTTTAATGACTACAAAAAGCACTGGACTTGTCAATGAAACCCAGCCTTGGCATAGGACTCCTTATAAAAAGACTTCTGGGATAAGTGGAAAGCAGTTTGGTAGAAAATGGATTCAGGCCAATTTCTTACGATATACACCAAAACAAGCTCCAAATGAACATGCAATCAAAACATAAAGGTCAAATAAAATTAAATTTATTAAAATTAATTAAATTTATTAAAATTAAAAAATTAAAATTAATAAAATTAAAGAACAGAAGAAAGCAGCTTTATGGTTATGAGGGAAATTTAGACTCAGGATAGAAAAGATGACAGAACACAAAATGGGCAAAGTTGATGATATAACATTAAAAAGCTTTTGCAAGAACAGTATCTATGCAGCTAGAATAAAAAGCTGTTGAGTATTTCTGATAAAAATTTAATATCTAAGATATATAGGAAATTGACACAAACAAAAGATGAAGAGCCACTCTCTGATAGATAAGTAAGGAAAGCATATTAATAAAAAAAATTTTTTAAGGCAATTGGGGTTACGTGACTTGCCCAGGGTCACACAGCTAGTAAGTGTCAAGTGTTTGGTCTGAGGCCGCATTTGAACTCAGGTCCTCCTGACTTCAGGGCTGGTGCTCTATCCACTGCGCCACCTAGCTGCCCCAATAACAATTTTTCTAAAGAAGAAATGTAAACTCATAAATAAACACATGAAAAAATTGCTCCAAATCAATGGCAATCAATCAACAAGTATTTATTAAGTGACTGCTATGAAGCAGACATTGTAAAAATGAAATAGTCCCTGATTTCAAGGAGAGTAATTACAGTCTATTAAGAAATGCAAATTAAAACAAATACGAAATTTCAACAATCACCTAATTGGAGAAGATGATGAAAGACAGAAATAGCCAATGTTGGTGTGACTGGGAAGTCAGGCACATTAGAATTGTACTGTTAATGAAGTTGAGAGCTTATTCAACTGCTTTGGGATTATAATAGTCATTCACCTGCTCACATCCTTTGTTCCTCCACTCTCAATATGAGGCATAAAGCCAAGGAAGTAAAAGACAGGAGGAAAAGTCTCACACAGGCAAAAATATTCATAGCAACACTTTTAATGGTAACCAAAAAATAGATCCAAAATGAGTTCCCATCAATTAGAGAATGGGTGAACAAATTGTGCTACATGAAGTGTAAGGGAATATGTGTTATAATAAATGGCAAACATAAAGAATTCAAAGAACATGGAAAGATTTGTATGAATGCAGAATGAAGAAAGTAGAATATACAAAATGACAATCAAAACATAAGTGAAAACACCACCAAAAGAATCCAGATTATACACAAGGTCAATATTGGTTCCAGGGAACTAATTATGTAACATACTTCCCTCCTCTCAGAAGTGATAAGATGAGAAGTATAGAACATTGCAAATGCTGTCAGTTGTAGTGTACTATTTTTGCTTACCTAGCTGATTTTCATTGTTCTAAAAGAGGGTTTTTTGAGAAGGGAGGAGAAAAGGGCAGGATGATCAGAGAGTAGTGTAAAAAAACAAAAATAATAAATATTTTTAAATGAAACCTTAAAGACTTTCCTCCCATGCATAAAAGTATATCACATGCATGTCAAACCTATTCAAGATTACCGGAATGATATAACAGATAATTTTGACAATCCTCTTCTTGTCAGAGCAAGGTATAAAACAGGGACATTAATGCTTGCCAAAGATGTCTACCATAGAAGATGTCTCACAGAGTTCAAATAGAAAAGGGATTTCACACTGTCCTTCAGATGCTCCTGTTGGTAGATGGTACTGGATTTATTTCGTTAAGCACTATAGCACCCACAATCATTCAAAAGCATTTGACCCAAATTTTTACAAATGAAAAACTAAACGGATTATGATTACCTATTGTCCCAGATATGATATGCAATTGGATGAACACTTCACACAACTGGTACAGAAATACCATTATCTTGGATAGGCACTGGGAATGGCCAAGGAACTGAGCCCAAGGCAGGAGGGAAGGAGACTGGATTGGGGAAACTGCAGTGCTTTTTAACAATTTTCGGAAACAAAGGTTCTTTTAAACAGTGACATTCTTCCAGTAATGTGTGATTCTGCGTCATGGAATACCAGTTTCAGGAGAACTAAAACCATGGGTTACCCCAAAGAGCCATACAGAGGTACCCAGTAGACATAAATCGGCTACATCAAAGGAAGGACGGCATCCAGGAAGAAGGAGGCAAGGCAATGCCAGTGAAGACTTGCACAGGAAGCTACTTAAACAGTATCATCTGAGAGATTCCACGTATCTGTATTCATAGAAAAAAAAAGTGCTCCAAATACCTAATGCTGAGAGAAATGCAGTTACTACCTCACACCCATCAGAATGGCAAAACTGACAAAAAGGAAACTGGAAAATGTCGGAGAGGCTGCATTGATGGATTGTTGATGAAGTTGTGGATTGGTCCAGCTATTCTTGAAAGCAATGAGGAACTATGCCCTCAAAGTTACTAAAATGTGCATACCCTTTAACTCTGCAATACCACCAGTACATCTATATCCCAAAATGACCAAAGAAAGAAGAAAAGGCCCTGTATGTGCAAAAATATTTATAGCAGCTCTTTTTTGTGGTAGCAAAGAACTGAAAACTAAGGGGCTACCTATAAATTGGGAAATGGCTGAAGAAACTATGATAGATGAATGTAATTGATTACTAAGAAACCTAAGAAAATTTGTTTGAACTGATGAAGGATGAAGTGAGCAGAAAGAACCAGGAGGGTAATTTATACTATAACAATACTGCAAAAATGATATAATTTTTACAAAATAATTTTTAAAGTCTTAAGAAGTTTGATCAAAGCAATAATCAACCATGATTCCATAAGACTGATGATGAAGAATGTTACCTATTTCCTCAGAGAGAAGTGATGGAGTAAATATGCAAAATGAGACATGTCTGGACATGGCCAATACAAGAATTTATTTTGAGTATGCATATGTGTTAAAAAAATTTTTTCTTTTTAGTAGGGTGGGAAGGTTGAAGGAAAAAAAAATGCTTATTAACTTAAAAAAGATTTAATTAAATAATGAAATTATATTTGATCCTCTAGTCAACAGGGTGCCATAAGGGAGTGAGACATGGTCAGACCTGTGCTTTGGGAAAATCACTTTGGCAGCTGTGTAGGAGATGGACTGGAGAGGCAAGACACAAGGCTGGAAAATCATTTAGGAGTCTAAGCCAGAAGTTATAAGAACATGAACTAGGATGGTGAGAGAAGAGAGGAAACATGAGACATGGTTATGTTGTGGAGTTAGAAAATAGATTTAGCAACTGCTTAGATATGTGAGTTGAAGAAGAATGACAACAAAGTTTGAAACTTGGCTAACTTGAAAGATAGTGGTGCCTCAACCATAATAGGGAAGTTTAGAAGAGGGTATTTTGGGAGGGAAAAATAACATAATGAGAATTGCAATGGAGTCACAATCCTTCTCACCCCAAACTAAAAAGGTTCTTTTTCAACAGTGACAACTCCAGGGTCCTCCCTCTTAGAAGGTACCTGCTACAGCCACTAGGTATTGGGGGTTGGGGGGGGCAAAGAATAGGTGGGTATGATGGTATGGAATTTTTCCAGAATCAGGCATGCAGTTGCTGTTATGGATGCCTTTATCAGAATTAGATTTCAACTGCCCTATCAGAACAGAAAACAGAAAACTAGCAAGAAAGAAGGTAAGTTGTGAATTTACAGTGTTGGAAGGTGGGAAGTAACACATCCTCCCATCCTCTTAATTAGCTGTTCAAATACACCTCAGGATCAGGCTAATGGCTCATTGGTACCAGCTAACTGCCCACACTCTGGAGACCATTCATCTAGAAATGCCTCCAGGAAGATGGGTGGTGAACATGGACAAGATTGCAAGAGATGAGGGGATATATTTATTAAGCTCTGCATTTCTGAAAGAAGTATCTAAATCAATCTACATATTGACATTATTAAGTTTATAAAGCACTTTCCTAAAAGCAATCATGTGGGTTAGTGCAAATATTATCTCAATTGTATAGCTGAGGCAATTTCCACCTGGGGATGTCAAATGGTCACATAGAAAAAGAACCTGAGGCCCAAGAAGTTCAGTGTTTTGCCCAAAGTCACTCAGGTAGTAAGTGTGACTAGATGACCTTTAGTACCCAGAGGTATTTCTTAGCCCTAAATTTGTGAAATTCTGATCAATCATCTGTCAGGAATGCTGAAGAGTAGAAGAGGATTCTTACATTGGGGCGCCAGGGTCACACCCATCCCTAAGCCTCCAAGATGCCTCACAAATCTATTAATCACTTTGGAAACCCACTTCCAGTTACCTGTCCCCACCATCTACCTTCCTGGTCCTTTTTCTGTGTTCAGGCTCTCGCACCTAATCTTTCAACTCTCTGTATTCAGGGAGGCACTTACCCAATGCAACTCTTGAGAAATTCTTTCCGTTTCTCAGGGTCCTGGATGCTTAAATGTTCTTGGTACTGGGATAGCTACAGAAAGAAAAAGGAAAGTTCTGAGTGGCCTGGACTCCACAGAAAGGAGAGATCAACTAGAGGAGAGCTCTTATGATCGGCACCACTCCTTGGGGGCACTCTGCTAGGGAAAGCACCCAAAACTCCCAACACATCTGGCAGAATGAAGCAAACTCAGGGGGTCGATGGAGCTGTTGCATTAGCCTACCTAACCTGGCTTTCTGATCTATATTAGGCTTCTTTTTCTTTGCGACATTTCACTAGTGCAAAGAGCAAACTGACGAACAGACATCTTCTACCAATACAGACAGGCTACTGTTCTGCAATGTATAGTCTTAAGAGAGTTGTCTGGGTGCTGAGACTGTTAAGTGACTTGCCCAGGGTCACAGAGTCAGTATGAGTCAGAGGCAGGACTTGAAGTACATGACTCCCAAGGTTTTCATGACTCCCAGGCTGGTTCTCTATCTACTATTCCATGCCACCTCTCCACCTCATTTCTGACTCCATTTCATCACCATGGTCCTATGACAGTAATAACTAACATTTACATTTTTCAAGCAGCAAGCATTTATTAAGCACTTGTTATGTTCCAGGCACTGTGCTAAGTGCTGAGGGTACAAAGAAAGGCAGAAGATATTCCCTGTGATCAAGGAGCTCACAGTCTAATTTATATAGCACTTTAGAGTTTGAAAAACACTTTACAACATTACCTAACTTGAACCTTAAAACAATCCTATGAGGTATGTACTACAAATATTATCAGATGAGGAACTAGAACTAAGACTAAGACAAGGTGAATTTAAGGGCCTTGTCTTTGTTCACATAGCTAGCAAATCAGGAAGGATTCAAACCCAAGTCTTCCTAACTACTAGTAGGCTGTCTCATTTAGTCTTCCAAATGAGGTAAAGATTAGAAACAGAAAACCAAAAAGACTAGTCTAGTTTTATAGACCCCCAAAGGAAGCATACCAAAACAAATAAAATAATGTCATTAGGACCTTTTTTAATGTTCTAATTAGAGTACTAATTGTACTTAAGAGAATGAGTGCAGATTAAGGTAGTGTCAGGTTGAAATGAAGGTCATACATACTGCAAGTTCTTCTGTTCTGTCCAGGTACCTGGGAACATAGAAGAAAGGAAAAGATCATTAGGTGCTTCAGGTGCTCCACTCCCTAGCATTTTTGTCTAATGCTGTGTGAAATTCCTTACATCAATATAAACTCTCATCTTAGGATGAATGATCTGAGAGCAACATAGTCCAAGGTGATATTCATCCTCATCCAATACATGGCCTTATCTTTAGTCTCTACCACCACCAGCCTCTCCTCAAAGTGCAACAAATATTGATGAATAAATACATCTTATTTTACAGCTCTCAGTCACATATGGTCAATGTCCATAGCCAGATGAAGTGCTTTATTCATCAGTCAGGGTAAGGCAGCCCACCACTTCACTAGCGTCTTGGAATGGAACCTTACTAGCAGGAGCCGATACCCATAGGTAGGAGCTCCAGCCCCTTCTATAGGTTTGAAGTGAAAAATGAGAATAAATTGTACTCTTCAATCTCATCCTGAAAGGCCTACACTGCCAGAGGTAGCCAAGTAGTAGCAACAGTAAAAATGATGATAATGATGAAAATGATAACTCACATTTAGATAGTACTCCCTAATCAAAGTGCTTTCCTTAAAACAATCCAATGAGGTTGGTGGTATAAGAATTATACCGCTTTTACAGATAACGAAACTAAAGCTCAGAGAGGTTAAATCACTTGTTGTTATGGTGTCAACAGCCACTAAACTAGCAGAGGTGAGTTACCCACCCCTCATGTCTCTTTCCAGTCTACTAGATGACCTTGCCTTCATGCCTAACAGGGTCTCTGCATGTGGACTTTTGGTTGTTAACTGTTAACCAATGGAGTAGCTCTCACCTGAAAAGGTCCAGTAGCATCTTCTGATCACCTATCTCCTTAAGAAAGTGAATGAGATGTCTCAGGGCAACCTGTCGCACTTCGAGCTCTCGAAAAAGGATCTCTAGTAAGGAGTAAATGGAGAAAAAATAAATCACTCAGTTGCGTGTTGATTGGTTGCACTGAATTGCTTTCCCCCCTCTTTTAATCTTTGTTACATGGAAAGGCTTTCTGGGTAGAGGAGAAAGACAAACAAATTTGGAAATTAAATGGATGCTAAAACAGAAGGCATCAATAAAAATAGATATTTAAAAATTTAGAATCATGCTAAATGTGAAACTAGCTTCCTTTCTCACTATACAGTTTTCTCCCCAAATTCTAGCAGGAGCCAATTTATCCATCACATACCCTCCATGGCCTAAAGGGAATACTCACTGGTAAGAGAACTCCTCAATTCCCGCTAACTCAACTTGCTTGGTCCCCCAAACTCTAGCCCAGCTACCTGTCTATGCATAAGATGCAGTAGAATCTGTGATCAATGGGTTACTATAAAGATGAACTGCCAGTCACTTGGATGTACACTCCCCCAGCCAGGACCCTATGACTACAAGCCAGTCCAAACTATGCTCACCTTTGCTCAGGGTCCTCTTGAGGAAGATCAAAACCTGAGGAAAAAGGGAGAATATAAAGTGTAAGTTCCATAAGATTACACAGCCCTATACCTTAAGGGCTACTTAAACACATCGATTGGTGTTCTCTAGCCCTACCCTCAGCAGTCCCTTTGAGTAACATTTTAGCAGAGGCCAAAAACCCATCAGAGGTTGCCTAAGGCAAAGAACAAGCTCCTGGGTGCAAAAATGATTGAAGCCTTGAACACAACATCCCTCAGAAATCACTAGTTCTTGGTGTCCATGACTACCTGGAGCCAACGCACTCGACCACTTCCCTGAGTATCCTCTCACATTTATTCTTCCTCAGGAAAAGTATGAGAGCGGAACAGCAACCTCTTCCCCTTTTGGACTTCCAGAACAGCCAAGCTGCTGACTCTATGCCACAGTCAAGATTCCCAGCACACTCCCCACCTCAGCAGTTGTATCACTGAGAGTCCCGAGAGGCACAGGGAAGTCAAGGAGTCAACTCCCCACTTGGCACCTAAACCATCATCCCAGAGTTTGTGGCTGCTGGGTCTCCTGCTCCTAAAATAAAGCTCACAGCAGTAATGACGTTCCCATCATGAATAGACACTGCTTCTTCCAGAAGTTGGAGCTTGTCCTGTAAGGAACGGAACCTCTCTAGGGAGCAGACCTGGCAGGGCAAGACGAAGGAAGAAGAAATCAGGATATGGTTTCCCAACCTGCACTTTAGCTTTGAGGAAGTCATATTCCTAAATGTACCAATTTCAGGAAATGTCGCTGGTTACAAAGTCTCAATTGTTACATCAAGATCCCTGTGCACACTCTAGACCTGAGTCCTCCCCCAAAGCTTTCCCCATTAGCTCTGTATTCTAGTGTTGCAGTCCTAAGGAAACCTTGAAACTTGACCTCCACCACAAGTCCCACCACAGCACCCAAGGCACATCACCAGGGTATAAGAGCATTCCCATGTGTCCTTTTCCCTTCCATTCCATATGCTCTCCCTTACATTCAATCTAATCCACACCAAGCCAAGTAGTGCTGCAACTAGTCTTTAAAATAGGTATAAAATCTTTGACCTGTTGGGTTCAATTCTTTCAGAAACCATCCAAACTCATCAAATGATAGGATGGGGATATGAAATGAAAGACACTCCTTCCCTGGGGACAATGTGCCCAGCATTCCAAGAACTCCCCCCATGCCTTTCTTTCCATAATGTTCTTACCTTACCCTTCTGCAGACGCCTGACTGTGTCACTGAGGCTCCAGTCACTGCTGTAATCCTGAAATATTAGCAGCTTGTGAACCCCACTGGGATCAGAGGCCAGGGTATCGGGATGCCAGCTCCTCACCCCAGCCTCACGGGTACCAGGAGGGCTTGATCTCAGGCTTGGTTGACTTCACGAGATCCTTTGTCATGAAGGGGGATGTATTTAGTAGGAGCAAATAGACAAGGGAGAAGCTGGAAAGTCGAAAATGGCCTTGATAGGAAGGAAGTTTAAAGCTAGTGTTTTTCTGTGTTACTGAAAGCACTGGGAAAAGGGGAGCACAAGGGAAAGAAAACAGGGAGGAAGAGGGATTCTTTCCCACAGCTCTCCAAAAAGTCCCCGTAAATGGAATCAATTCATTCAGAAAACCAGAAACTCTAATGCCACCATTTTAAGATTTCCACCCACTAATGCTGGTTTTGTGCAATATCTGTGCATTCATCCGTGGCCCGAGCTTGTGGAAAGTTAAGATTAGAGTTGCTTCAACACACACTCTGGATTCTTGGACTCAGACAGAATTCTTTGCTCAGAGATCAGCTGTTCTTTCTTATCCATTTCACTGCAATCTCTGCCCAGTTACGCCCCCTTTAGCAATCCACATGAAAATCACTGGGTTTTGAAGTATAGTTGCTAGTAGTAACCCACCTTGTATTCACCCTTAGGTCTTCGCAGTTCTGGAGCATAGTTTTTAGGAGGTACATCTGAGAGAGCTAGAGAAGAAAAGGCAACAGGCTCAATACATCCTGAATTCTGCCTCTTGTCATCTCTCCCTTTAAGTATGGCTTCCTTCTCTAAAAGGTCCTCCAGTATATAGACTTAAAGCCAAGGGCAGTGACCCTCTCTTGTCTGCAGTCAAAGCAAGACATTATTCCAAAATTATGTCCTACCATTAGAATGGGGAAGATGTGTCACTTTATCCTTTATAAGGCTAAAATATTTCCTTCTACACAGTTTAGTGGTTCTTCCCAAGGTTAGAGTACCAAAAGTACATGCCACCTAGTTCCCCAACTCTTCAGAGAGGATATCAGGCCAAAAACTATTCCCCACAGCAAGCAAGGGAAGACAATCCAATCCCCAAAGCCCAATGCCTACCATCTGAAAGGGACTGGAAACTCCCAATTCTGCTTCTTCCTAAAGCCAAAGAACATAGGGAGAATGAGATCCAAGGTTCAAGTTACGGCTATACAGGACCACTGGACAATCATAAACATCCACTGGGAACAGAAGAGTTAAGTAACAAATAAAAACTCGCTTTTGTATCATGCTTAAGCTTTGCACCATGGCTTCACATACATACATCATCTCACTTGAGCATCACAACAAATGTTTTCGTTTTAACTAAAAGAAAAAGACCTGTAAACACAATCATTGAGAATTGTGAAGTCACAATAAAAGTATATTAAATAAGGCAATTCTTTATTAAAACAAAGGCTTATTTAGAAAATATTAACAAAATAAACATTTTTTTAAGGCTAAAATATTAAGAGTAAGCTTTTCTCATTCCATAGGATCCCTCCCTGTAGAAGAGGTTTATTCACAAATCAAAAATACTGGCGCTGAAACTTGGCAAGCTGCCCACAGTGTCAGTGAAGTCTGGTCACATGATCCAAATCGTGAAACCTATGCTTTCCCTGATATTTGGATGGAGTTCTTTTGTTCAGCCTCCACAGATTTATAACTATAAATTTTTTAGCCTTTATGAAAAACACAACTTTTTATTAAACTACTATGGTATAGTGGATAGAGACTAGGTTTTAAGTCAGAAAAACCTAGGTTCAAGTCCTATTTCTGACACTTCATGGCTGTGTGACCATGGGCAAATCACTTAACCCCTCAGTATCTCAAATGACTCTAAGAATTTAAGATACAGACAGAGTTGCTCATCTGCATCTGTAGAGGGGGTGTCCACATCAGGTGTTCTTTACAATGATGAAATCAGAGGTCCAGATCAAAATAAATTTTTTTCTTCAAAGACAATACCATAAGCTAACACTCCTACGAAACAAATGCTTATAGTGCATCTTTCTCAGCAATTCGTATTTTTTTTCTTACCAACTCACCCTAAATTTTAAGTTGCAGTTCAAAACCCTTCTGAATAGGTTGTCTGTACCCATTGGGTTAGCTTGGCATCACAGCACTCCTAGCATTCATGGTGGAATAGCAAGAAGGCTGAACTGGGAGTTGGGAGATCTAAGTTCTAATTTCAGCATATCAATTAACCATGTGACTGACTGGACTAGACTACCTGTTTGAAGGGGCCATTCCAGTTTTTAATTCCTGTGATTCTCTTGGCTGGTGGCTGGGTTATCAGCTTTCTGTCTTGGCCACAAGGACTTAGCTATGTTGTCTGAATACGCTATTAAAGCTAACTAAAGGGAAGCCTTCACTTTTGTATCTCCAACCTTCCAGAACTCAAACTACCTGCTTCTCTTATCTACAATACAGAAATAGTTAAGAAGGATATATGTCCTAATAACATACCAGTTTTTGTATTTTTTCTTATATTTTAGCACAGTGTCTGGCACATGGTATATGCTTAATAAATGTTTAATGACTATATCAGAAAGAGGTGACTTTCCACTTTAGTCCTAATTTCTTCTTAGCTGTGAAGCTGAGATCTTTTTTTATGTTCTAGTCTAAGTTACATAATAGAGCAGAGTATGTGACCTATCTTAGAAACCACCTAATAATGAAAGATCATAGCCCATCCTTCCCAAAGCAATGAAGATCAGCGATCTGAAGCTGGCAATGTCCTTAGACACCATCTAGTCCAATCCCAACATTTTAAAGATGACAAAACTAGGGCCCAGAGAATTTAAGTAACTTGTCAGAGTTACTTGACCCATACGGATAAGAGGCAGTACTTAAATTCAAGCTCATGTCCTCTGACTCCAAATCCATCCCTCTTCCCATTGCACCAATGTCACCTTGCCCTTGGCAATCCAATGACAATCCTACCAACTAAGGTCTGGAGACATCTCCCCTTGATCCAGCCATTCAAAATTCTCCCTAATTCCTTTCATCCACAAAACCTTACAGAGTGACAAAGGATTTCTGAATTAGCTGCCAACTCCAATAAACCACTTTTTCCTTCAGTTTCCCTTTCTTCCAGATTAAAAGAGAATGTTGGGCTGGATCTTTTAATGCCCAATGGAAAGGGAAACTTTTCACATCTATTCACTCTTTACCTTTGAAGAAGCTGCTCAAAGAGTAGGAGGAGGCAGGCTTGGGAAGTGGAGGATATGACGACAAGCTGTTTCGAGTCTTTAGGGGCTCACGTCCCTCAAGGGTGGGGCCACCACTGGAAGCTGTCTCTTTGATGGACCAAGAGATGCCTACATGACAGGAAGGAGTCAAAGTATAGATTTAGCAAACCTCTGGCAGAATGTAAATCCTCATGCTCCTATCTCCCAGCAGGTAATCTAAAAACTTCACAGGTGATTCTGGTTTCCTAACTGATCCTGCCTCCTAAAATCAAAGAAGATGTTGGGTGACAACAGGAGGAGCTAAATGTTAATAGTTTAAATAGTGTTCAATAATGGCTAGGTGGCAAGATTTCATAGCTAAGTAATGAGTCTTGTCCCAGAGCTATGGGAATTCATTCACAACCACAGCTCATAGGCACAGCTGTGCAGGACACAGCAAAGAATGAATAATTTTGCTTTCTGAGAATAAAAGATGTGAATGTCACATACACTGTCAGAGGGTGTTGCTTTTTTGGTTGGTTTTGCTTAACTGTTTTTCTTTTTTATAAGAAAGGGTTTAGTGGATTTTGATGGGAGGTGGGGGATAAATGGAGAAGTGACTGTGATATAAATAAAACAAAGACATCAATAAAAATGTGTATTTTAAAAAGTAGACAGGCAGGGCATGGTGGCACAACTTCTACTCTCTGCTGCTGGGGAGACTGAGGCCAGTGGTTACCTTCGAGCTTTCTGAGCTACACTTGGGCTAACTCTGAATTAGGCCTCCACTGTAAGTCAGAAATCAATATGGTAAGCTCCTGAGAGCAGAGGTAATCTAAGAGAGGCAAAACAGTTCAAGTTGGAAAAATGACAAGGTTAAAGCTTCCAGGCTGATCAATACAGGTAGCTAACTTGTCAGTGGCCACTACACTTGTAGCCAGGGAAAGATAAATTTTAAAAAAAAAAGGAGACAGAAAGCTCTTTCTTACATCTTACATCTTTCATAGACTCTACAAGAGTGTATGAAATTGCCAGTCAGGAGGGCTTAAGTTCACATCCTGCTTCTTACACATACAAGCTGTGTGACCATGGGCAAATCATTTAACCTCTCTTAAGTCTTAGTTTCCTCATCTGTAAAATGAAGGGGGTGGTCTAGAAGGCCTTTAAGGTTGCTTCCAGCTCTAAATTTATTATCCTATGATCATCTGTCTCTTTAGAAGCTCTCCAGTCAAGGATAGACTTTTAAAGTGACTGAATTTTGAAAGGAGAGAAGGAAGAGGAGGGAGGGACACTGGTTAAAGCAGGGGGGTCATCTATTAAAGACATAAATCCTGAGCATGACCTCCTTGGATTCATTCTACTTACTCCCCACAGGTTCTCCACTCCAGCTGACCCTCTCCAGGTCATCGTCATCATCATCCACAATGTCCCGAAGGCTGTTCACTGCCCGTTTGGACTCCTTCAACTGCAAGTGGACAGAAATCTGGGAATCCAAGTCACCTCTTCCTCCTACTGCCCTTCATCAGCATCCAAACTTATTTAGCAAGATGATACCAGATGAATTTGGGACATAAAGCCAAAAGGCTGAATGAGTAGTATTTAAAAGAAAATTTCATTTAATACACCTAAAACGTTCACAAAGAAAACTGACAAAGGGTCAAACTGATTTGATCAAATCAAATCAAACTGATTTGATTACAGGAGCCAGAGGTCAGGTTTCATAGAATAAATCTGAAATTATCGGAGGCTTTCAAGTTCTAATCCAAGCTACAATTGTGTTTGTGCAACTTGGTATGTGACCAAGGTCCTCATGGAAATTCATTGAGTTTCTCCATTAGTAAGATGCAGAGAATACCATCAATAATACTCCTTCTTTATTTGTGAAGCTGATTTTTGAACTCATATTAGACTGAAATGAAAATCTTGATCCATTCCCCACTTTTTCATCCTATCCAGTTTCTACCTTCTTCTGCCCATCCTTTCTAGTTTGTCTTCCTGAACCCTTGTTCTGCTGTTAGCAAAAACTCTGTTACCCTAGGCTGAGGCTGCTTCTCACACTCTTTCCACAATGTTCATGAAAATCTGGCCCCCTCTGGAAGAAAGTGCATCCCTGACTATTCTCTACAGCATAGGCTGCTCCTTCTCCCATGTAGCTGACAAATAACTAGGAAAAAAGGCATAACTCCTTCTTCTTAGGATCACTGCCTGATCCTCCCTCTACCACCTTCACTTGGCAACTTCTCTTTTGAGGTTCACTCTATCTGCCTATGTCATCACTCCAGATCCTTGTTGCTGTAATGTTCTCGGGACCAAATCATTCTTGCTCCTAGCTCAAGGACTTCAATACCAGCTTACAGTCTTCCTCTATACCCTGACCCCTACCCTCATCTAAAGGGACTTCGTATCCCTTTGAACATCCCAGCCTCTTAATTCATCCCACTTCTTAACTTTTAGCACCTTCATCTTCATGCCACTTCAGTTACCAATAAAGATACCTTAAGATATTGTCATCAATAAATGGTGCTGGAAAATAGGATGGAGAGAAAGACACAATTGGTAATCATAATGGTGAAAAAAATTTTACAGCAAGTTTCTCTTATAAAGACCTCGTTTCTCAAATATATACAGAACAGAGTTAAATTTATAAAAATAAGAGCCATTCCTCAATTGACAGACGGTCAAAGGATATGAACAGGCAGTTTTCAGACAAAGTAATCAAAGCTATCTATAATCATATGAAAAATACTCTAAATCACTGTTGATTAAAGAAATGCAAATTAGAACAACTTTGAGCTACCACCTATCAAAGTGGCTAAGATAACAGAAATGGAAAATGACAAATGTTGGAATGGATGTGGGAAAATTGAGACACTAATGCGATGTTGGTGAAGCTGTACACTGATTTAACCATTCTGTAGAGTAATTTGGAACTATGCCCAAGGGGCTATAAAACCATGCATACTCTTTGACCAAGCAATACCAGTACTAGGTCTGTATCCCAAACTGGTTAAAAAAAAAAAAGAGGAAAAGGACCTATATGTGCAAAAACATTTATAGCAGCTCTTTTAATGATGGCAAAGAATTGGAAATTGAGGAGATGTCCATCAACTGGGGAATGGTTGAACAAGTTGTTGTACACACTTGTGATAGAATACTATTGTACTATAAGAAACGATGAACAGGATGCTCTCAGCAAAGCCAGAAAAGATTTACATAAACTGATGCAAGGTGAAATGAGCAGAACCAGGAGAATATTGTACACAATAACAGCAATACTGTACTATGGTCAACTGTGAATAACTTAGCTATTCTCAGCAAACAACAATTCAAGATAACCCCAAAGAACTTAAGATGAAAAATGTTCTCCATCTCCAGAAAAAGAACTGATGGAGCCTGAATATAAATCAAAGCATACTTTTTCTTTATTTTTCTTGTTTGTTTTGGTCTGTGTTTTCTTTTACAATATGACTAACGTAGAAATGTTTTGCATGATGGCCCAAGTATATCAAATTGTTTGCCTTCTCAATTCGGGGTACGGGTAAGGGGAGAGGGAATTTGGAACTAAAAGTTTTAAAAAATGTTTAAAATTGTCTTTACATGTAATTGGGCAAAAAAAAATATTAAATCATAAAATATAGATGGTGCCTCCATGATTCAGAAGTCTGAAATTCTCTTCTGATCATAATATCCTATTTTTCAATACCTCCCTCCCCCCATTTCTCTTGAACTTATTATTATTATTTTTTTTACTGTAACCCTTTGGGTCTTCTATCCCTCCCTCTCAGGGATCTCATCAGCATGGGCTCAATGATTATCTCTATTCAGATAACTCCCAAATCTATGTATATAACCCTAACCTCTTTCCTGAGCTCCAGTCTCAAATCATCAAATATCTGCTGTATAAATATTTCCATATGGATATCACAGTCATTTCAAATGCAACATGTCCAAAATAGTATATTTTGCCCTAATTCCTTCTCTCCCTTACACGCATTTTCCCCCCCAGTTCTATTGTGTATCACCATCCTTCCACTTACCCAGGGTCAGAACCTCCACTCTTCATTGACTTCCCCCCCATATCTAATCAGTTCCAAAATCCTATTGATTATACTTCTACAATGTATCATACATCCATCCCTTTGTCTTTATTCACATAGCCAACACCTTAATTCAGATTTTCATAATCTCTAACCTGGATTATTGCAATGGCCTCCTAAATGTGCTTCCTGCTTTCAGTTCCTTCACTCTTCCGACCCATCCAACTACCAAAATTATATTTCTAAGCCACAGGTCTAAGTCATTGGCCTGTTCAAAGACCTTCAGTGGCTCCCTATTGTCTCCAGGAAAAATAAGACTTCTTCTGTCTTCAATCTATCTTTGTTTATCTAATTTCATTTTATTTTCCTTTATGTAAACAACATTCTAAACAATTCTACCAGATGGTCCCCAAACTCAGCACTCCATCTCCAACTGTCCCTCATGCCTGGAATACACACCAGTCTCGTTTCTGTTTCTTAGAATATTTAGTCTATTTCCAGATCAACTCCTGGATGAAGACTTTTCCAATCCTCCAAGTTATTAATGCTTTGTTCCTCACTGGACTATCATGTTTACACCATGGACTACCAGTGACACACCTTACTGCATAGATCTTGTATCTCTATTAGAATATATGTTCACTGAAAACAAGGATTATTGTTTTTCTTTGTATTCCTACCCTTTGCACAGTGCCTTACACAAAGAACATGCTTATGAGTATTGACTGAATTGAATTCTCACTCAAGAATAAAAATGAATCCATCTAAATAAAGAACTTGAGACCCTTTTTTTTTTTAAAGGAAAATTGTTTTACGTGAACAAAATCAGTACAAATAGGATATGGAGAGAAGTGGTTGCCTAAGAAAGAAAACTCTGTATCAAATAGCAAATTATTTCTGATAAGGGTTTAATATCCAAACATATGGGGTTATGGTGGCACAGTGGATAGAATGCCGGGCCTGGAATTTAAAAGACTCCTCCTTCCTTAGTTCAAATCTGGCTTCAGACACTTACTAACTCGTGACCCTGGGCAAGTCACTTAGCACTTAATGTTGTGTTGATAGAATTGTGAATTCATTAAACCATTTTGGAAAGCAATTTGATATTCTGCAAAGAAGGTTATTTAAAACGTCCGTGCCTTTTGACTCATAAATTCCACTCCTAGGCAGACACCAAAGGAAGTCAATTACACACACACACACAAACACATACACACACGCCATATATACAACAAAATATTTACAAGGGCACTTTTTTTTTTAAAAGCAAAGAAGTAGAAATGAAGTAGATCAATTAGCAACAAATCGTGGCACAGGAATATAATAGAATATTAATGGGTCGTAAGAAATGACAAATGTGGAGAAGCATGAACTTAGATGAACTGATACAAAGTGAAGTAGAGCCAAGAAAAGTACCTACACAATGACAGAAATGTAACTGGAGAGAACCACAGCATGATCGAAAAAGAAGGTTGCAAAATTGTAAAGCTCAGCCCCAAAGAAGAGATAAAACACCTCTGCATGCTTTTGCTACCTATTTTTCTTAAAAATCACATCCTTTGCTATAAAGGATCATTCTCTGGGGAATGGGTAGGGGAGAGACACAGTAGAAATCTAGATAACGTAAAAACAAAAGACAGCAATAAATATCTATTATTTTTTTCTTTTTTAAAAAAAAGAACAAAGTTCTTTGAACGGTGCAATATTATAATGATTAAGCTTGGGTCTCAAAAAGACATATTAGAAGACATTGCCCCTGCTTCTCTGTAGAAGGGGAGGCCATGGGTATGGGACACTCCACACAACAGTACCTTTTTCATATGGTGATTTTTTTTAACTTGTTCTTTTTAATTTCTTTTTTAACAAGTTGGCTCTCTGGAAGGGGGAGGAGAGTGGGATACAGTAAGAAATATAAAATTTTAAAATATCAATAAAAATGTAAAAGAAAAGTTGATCTTTTTTTCTTCCTATTAGTTCTTCCTTTCTTTCTTTCTTTTTTTAGTGAGGCAATCAGGGTTAAGTGACTTGCCCAGGGTCATACAACTAGGAAGTGCAAAGTGTCTGAGGCCAGATTTGAACTCAAGTCCTCTTGACTCCGGGACCAGTGCTCTATCCACTGCACCATCTAGCTGCCACTTCCTATTAGTTCTTTGCTAACATTTCTCTCAGTTTTCTACATTTTATGACCCTGAACATCTTCCAGACTGGAATTTCAGAGAATTCAATGCTCCCAGAAGAAACCTCAGAAATCATTTAGTTTAACTCCATTTAACAGATGAGAAAATTGAGACTCAGAGATAATAAGTAACCTGTCCAAGGTCACACAGGTAGTTACTAGACAGAAATCTCTATAGAAGATGGTTTTAAGAGTAAAGCCAGGGGCAGCTAGGTGGACCAGTGGATAGAGTACTGGCCCTAGAGTCAGGAGGACTTGAGGTCGAATCCAGCCTCAGACACTTGACACACTAGCTGTGTTACCCTAGGCAAATCACTTAATCCCACTGCCTAGCAAAAAAAAAAAAAAAAAAAGATTAAGACCAGCTAGAATGCTGATAGAGTGAATTTCTGGCTAGCAGTCAGGAAGATAGTTAAACTTCCAAGTCTGTCCCGTGTCTGTCATGTCCTTGGAAACCTACCTGGGAGAGTTCATCATCATCATCATCATCAAACGTGAAAGCCTTGAACTTGGAGCTGTGCCAGTACTCTTCCTCATCAACTTTTGTCCGATTCATCTGAGACAAGGAGAAAAGAAACATTCTTAGAAAGGCACCTCGGTGCTATGGAAAGAATGTTTTAAATGTATTCAGAAGTCCTGGAATTTAACTGAAGTTCTGACTTCTGCTAGCTATTAAGAGACCGTTTTACTTCCTCTGTAAGCTACATTTATAAAATGAGGATAATAATACTTGCACAACCTAACAGGGCTTTTGTGAGCAAAGTGATTTGTCAACATTAAAGCATTACTTACATTTGAACTACATAAGAAAAAAAAAGATACATATGTATCTGATTCCCCAAAATTTATTCTGAAGCACTAGAAGGTTGTTGGGTTTTTTGTTTTTGTTTTTGTTTTTGTTTTTTTTTAACTTCTGATCCTCAGAAGACAAGGAGAGATGAGAGAACTTGGCAAAGATACACTTGCCTAGAGCATCTAGGTAACAAGGTGATGAAAGAAACAAAGTATATGACTTAGAGTTAAAAAGACCAGCCTTCAAATTCTATCTCAGATACTTAATAGCTGTGTGATCCTGAGCAAGTCATTTTATTCCTCCTATCCTCAGCTTCCTCATCTGGAAAATAACTTACCTCACAGGGGTTGTTGTGAGGATCAAATGAGTTAATATATGCAAAGCACTTTGTAAACCTTAAAGCACTACAGATACACTAACAATTTTTGTTACTATTAGTACTGTTACCTTTCCTACTCCTAATGAAGAATCTCTGGATGTGCCACTTACAGATGATTCACTGATTCTTCAACATAAATGTAATACAATCCACTTAAGTTTTAACTCATCATAGGGTCACAGATATAGATCAGACAACACGTAGGCTAACCCCTTTTTTACATATAAGGAAACTGAGACCAAGAAAGGTACCAGTGATTGTCTGAGGTCACACAGTTTTAGACTGGAAGGGACCTCAGAGGCTATCTAGTGGGGGGGGGGGTATGTGGCCCTTTAGGTCCTCAAGTGCAGCTTTTTGACTGAATCTAAACTTCACAGAACAAATCCTTTTATTAAGGACTATTTTTATTATTTTATTTATTTTATATTAATTATTATTTTATTTAGGATTTTTATTAAGGACTAGATTGTAGTCCATCCTTTTCATTCTATAGATGAGGAAACTAACAACCAAGAAGGTCAGGTGACTTTGTTCAGTGTTGCACAAATGTCAGAGCTCTGCACTATACCATGACTATCTCACCAAACAGTTGATATGGACCTAGTATCTACTATGTGCAAGATACTCGGATAGGTTCTGAGAGAAATAAAAAGAGAAAATAATCTCAAGGAGCTTACACTCAGCCTGAGGAGAAAGACACACATATAGCTAAAAAGAATCTAGGGTGGAGAGCTAGCAAGTGGGCAGAGGTCGACAAAGTTGTCCAGAGTCAAGAAGACCTGGGCTCAAGCCCTTCCTCTGTGGCACACTGCTTCTGTGACACTAAGCAAAGTATAACCTCTCAATGCCCCCAGGAAATTCTGCAAGCTGCAGAGAAAATGGCACAGATCTGCACAGACAGAGAAGTTCCTCATTATAAGCTCCCAATACTTATGAAATCACCAATCTGGTCCAAACAAGCAAGATAAAAGCTGTAAATAAATGCTAAATGAGTACAGACTGAAAGGACAAGAAGGCTACCATAATAACTCTTTCTGAACGCATGAACTAGACAATCAGTGCTAACTGAATGAATACTACACAGCAAATAGTACTTCCCTAGCTGTTCCTAAATGTTCAATCTCCATTTAATTTACTTTCAATTGTATTCTAAATGTTTGGAAAGTCAGGCTTCTGAATGGCAAAAGATATGTTAAAAAGCTGTATTTGCAAGGAATATACCATAAAGTCACCCATCAAAAAAAGTAATGTTTTTTCCCCAAACAGGAAGTTCTATCTACAATGCAACCTAAACTATTCATGGCAATTGGCTTGGAAAGGTTCTGGAAAACTATGCTGTAAGCTAAGAATTGAAGAGCAAAAAATAAATAAAAATATATTTAAAAAAAGACTAGCAAGCAAAGACTAACAGCAGCTCCAAAAACATCTAACTCTGCTTGCTTCTTACTTGGCATTTCTATAGCCCCTCTAAGGAAGCATTCTTCAAAGTGAAGCCTGTGGAAAGTCAGCATCAGTCCAGCTTAAGCTGCTTTCTGGTGGCCACAGGCATCTTAGGGTCCAATTACACTAACTCAATCGGGGTAGATTTGATTTGTTGGTGTCAAGTTGACTTCAGGAATTTAATAAGCACTCTGGATAAAAATCAAACTGTAGCACTTGCTTAGCAAGTGAAACTATAAGAGTCCCAAGTATGCTGTGCACCAAGGGTACAGTCTGCAAACTGAGGGGAAGTTAAAGCCTGCACTCTTGTGATCTGTAATGCTTAAAAGTCTTTTCATTTTCTGTCATTTCACTGACAAGTACTTTTTTGAGAATCTATAAGCTGCATAGTGGTATATTACCAGAGATACAGCTATTGAAGATGAAGACAGTATAATGGAATACCAATCAATGTGGAAAGAAGATGATGGAAGGACAACAGATTAAGACACAGTAAAATAACAAAGAAAAGCAAAATAACAGAAATAAAATGAGAAATAGAATAAAATAATTTGGAACAGTAAAATGATTTTTAAAAAAATATAAAACTTCCGTCTCAGAATACAACAAAAAATTCATGGGAAGTTACAGAAAACACTTTTCAATGGTGACCAAAGGATTTAGACCAGGTATCTCAGTCAAGAAAAGCTGGGTGCTTCTTGTTAAAGTCCATTACAGGCCCTCTAAAACCCTTTCTTACTGAGTTCATAAGATCTACAGCTGAAAGAACCTATAAAGAGCTAGTCCAACCCTCTCATTTTGCAGAGAGTGAAACTGAGGCTCGTTGAAGTTAAGTGATTTGTCCAAGTTCATATAGCTAGGAAACAGAAAAGCCAGGATTCAAACCTGACTCAAATCCTCTAACTCAAAATCATGTGTTCTTTCCACTATTACCTCTAAGATCCTGTAAATTGATCCCAAATCACTAATAATAAGAGAAATGTAAATCAAAATAACTGATGTTTCCCCTTAGGCTCAGTAAATTGGCAAAAATCACACGAGATGTAAATAGTCAATGTTGGAGGATGTGCACAAGACAGACATATTAATATGCAGTCGGTGTGAACTGGACTGAACATTCTAGAAAGCAATTTGGAATTATACTGAGAAATGGACCAAAATGTCCATACTCTTTGACCCAAAGATCCCACTGCTAAGTATATATCCCAAAGAGAGCAATAATAAAAAGATATTACATATACCAAAACATTTATAGCAGTACTTTTTGTAGTAGCAAAGAATTGGAAACAAAGCCCACTGATTGTGGAATCGACAATTCTGGCACATGAATGCAATGAAATATTACATAAAAGAAAAGATGAATAAAGAGAAATATGTAAAGATTTATACGAATTGAGGTATGGTGAAGTAATAGGGCAGCTAAGTGGCACAGGCTGGGCCTGGAGTCAGGAAGACTCATTTTCCAGAGTTAAAATCTGGCCTTAGACTGTGTGACCCTGGGCAAAGTACTTAACCCTGTTTGCCTCAGTTTCCTCATCTGTAAAAAGAGCTGGAATAGGAAATGGCAAACCACTCCATTATCGTTGCCAAGAAAATCCCAAATGGAGTGATGAAAAGTTGGACACAACTGAAAAGCTTCCAAATAACAAAGGTGAAGTAAGCAGAAGCAGGAAAACAAAATACATGATACAACAGTGTAAACTGAAAGAATGATAAGAACACAACAATCAAAACTGAATGCTACGAAATTATGACTAAGCTTGGTCCCAAAGAAAAGAAAGAATACACAGCCTTTCTTCTTTGCAGGGGTATGGGACTATGTATGTGGAACACTGCATATAATGTTCAATTTGGTCAATGTGTTGGTTAGTTTTGATGGACTGTTATTTTCCACTAAAATGGATGGCTCTGTGGAAAAAGAGGGAGGAATATATTGGGAAATGGAGGTGAGGGGAGAAAAAGAATAAAAAAAAATTTTTTAAAAAGGTTCAGTTCTGTTGGGGCTGGGAATCATTGTGAAGTGACTTATTTAACAAAACCTACCAAAAAAGCATTTTAAAAATAAAATTCTGTGAATCTTAAGCACAGAAAAGGACCTTAGAAGTCATCTCATCCATTTTAGGCACAGGAGGATGTGAGGCCTGGGGAGATGTGTTTAACCTTCTTAAATCAATACTGTAAGGACAGAACCCAAGTGTCTTGACTTCCAGTTCCCTGCTCTTTTCATTGCACTGGAGGCAGATCACTACAGTGGAAATAGCAATGGACCTCGGAGCTTGGGAGAAATTTGCCTTTAAATCTCACATCCAATGTTTATTAACCACAGGCAAAGGCAGCTAGGTGGAACAGGGCTACTGCTCAGGAGTCAAACAACCCAGGTTCAAAATAGCCTTAACCTTTTATCTGGGTCAGTTTCCTCCTCTGTAAAATGGGAATAATAATAGTACTTAACCTCCCAGGATTGTTGCCAGGGTTAAACGAGATATCCACAAATACTAAAGCATTTACCTAGTGCTCCGAAATCGCTTTACAAACATTTCATTTTATCTTCACAATAACCCTGTGAGGTAGGTGCTATGATTAGCCCCATGTCACAGATGAGGAAACTGAGGCAAACAGAGGTGAAGTGGCTTGCCCAGGGGGACACAGCTAAGTGTCTGAGGTTGGATCTGAACTCAGGTCTTCCTGACTCTAAGCTCCATCCACTCCGTCTCCTCATTACTGGCCCCCCTACCTGGCCGCTGCCTCGTCTTTAGACAACTCTGAAAAAGCCCCCGTCCCCACCCGCCTGCAGAAGCCAGGAGTAGGAAGAGGGGAGCTCGGGGTGGGTCGAATACAGGGGGACAGGGAGGGATAGATCTTGGCGAAGGGCGACGCTCAGCTCCCCCTGCCTTCCCTCGGGAGCCCCACTTCTCTCCTCCTCCCTTTGTCCCCCAGACACCTTGGTTGGCATGTGAGGGGGGAAGGGTGGGGGCACCCCAGAGCGACGTGAAGGGAGGGGACGTCAGTTTGAGGAGCGGGCCAGGGAATGTCAGGACGGCGCGGGAAGAACTGCGCAGTGGCCAGCGGGGAAACCGAAGGGCGAGGGGGACGAGGGGCTGCCTAAACCCCTTACCTCTTCCGCATCGGCCCCTTCCTCTCAGGACTCGCAGCAGTCACTCAACCTCAACCCGCCGAGCCTTTCCCGTCACACAACCCAGCCGAGAGGTAACGGGAAGAGGGAAAAGACAACCGTCTAGGGAGGGGGGTCGGGCCGCACGGCATGCTGGAAGTTGTCGTTTCCCTCTTTGCCCCTCCTTTCAACGGCTCGCCCTCGACTTTGGTCCTGAGGACTACAACGCCCAGAAACATCATTGCGCAGGGCGGGTGGGCTCGGGACACTTCCTTATTTTCCAACGCCTCCTTCCGCCGGACATCGAGTGGGCGGTTAAACAAAAACTACAACTCCCAGAGAGCCTCGCGAGCAAAGCTTACTGTTTTCACTCCCCGTTGAGTGGGGGAGACAAGGAGAAGAGCTGTAGTTTTCCGGCGCGAAGCACTGACAAGCCATCCAGCGTTCCTATGCGCTAGCCGTGAGGGAGGGGGAAATAGGTTTAACAAATGGGGAGTATGCCGGAACCCTGAGAATTGGGGGAGTGTATCCTGCGGAAAGTTGGAGTGGAAGTACATGGTGGAAGGAGGCCGGAGGAGGAGGAGGAGGAGGAGGAGGATCCGGAGGAGGATCCGGAAACTTGCGGAAGGGGAGCGGAGAAGGCTGGGCTGGGGTGGGGGGGGGGAAGGTGGAGGGAAAAGCGAGCCGGGAGGCCCTGCGCCCGCTTCTAGTAATTTCCAGGCGCTGCCGGGCGGCTGGGGCCGGGGCCGTGCGGGAGCCTGCGGCGGCAGAATCCAAGACCAGATGGCCAAGTGGGGCGAGGGTGACCCACGCTGGATCGTGGAGGAGCGGGCAGATGCTACTAACGTCAATAACTGGCACTGGTAAGTGGAGGGAAGAAGAGGGGGACGGGACCGGGGCCTGGGCACGGGGTGGCTCCGGAGCAGAGCTCCGCACGGTGGCTCTGCCGCTTGCGATGGGGACGGGAGGAGGAGAGAGGTGCCCGCTGGGCAAAGCGTGAACCCCCGGAGAAAGTGCCCGCCCGGCCCCGGGCAGATCCCCTCTTCTGGAAAGCCGGCGTCCGGCGGCTCCGGCCCGGCCCGCGTTTATCTCCGAGCGCTCGCAGGGCCGAGTTACGGGGGGCGCACGTGTTGGGGAGGCGCAAACCCGAGAGTCCGGGCGAACGAGGATGGGGTCCACCGGCACGAAGACACCCGGGGAATTGTGGCGAGGAGGGTGGGGGAGGTACCATCGCAGGACTGTGGGGGGTCCTGGGCCGGTGGCTCCCCCCCTTGCCTGCCCCTCAGAAGGACCAGAAAGCCCTTTGCGGAGGCAGGCGGGCCATTGCTGCCGGGCTGGGCAGGCTCGTGGCGGGGAGGTGTTGCGAGTCCTTTGCTAGGTAACCGGTGCCTCGGAGGGACAGGGCTTCTTATAGTTGTTGCTGGAGTTTGTTTTCCCTCCACGGCCTAGCTCAAATGTCATTTCCTTAAGGCAGCCTTAACTGAATGTTCCTCTTTTCCACTCCTTTTGTCACACACACACACACACACCCTAAAAGCTACAAATGCGCTCTCTCCCTCCTCCGAATTCTTTGTCTGTCTCTTACAGTACTCACACCACTTTGTGCTTTGTTTTAGTTTTTTTGTGGATTTGTCTTATTGTTACAAATAAAAGGGTTTGTCGAATTGAATAAATGACAGAACTTCACTTGTATTCCCACCGCAGCACATATTACTATTACTACTACTACTACTACTACTGCTACTACTACTACTACATATGGGCTCAAATACTTGTTGAATTGCGTGAGTTTTTAGTTTTATTTTTAAACCAGTGTGTTCATACAGTTTTACAGATGACCAAATGAATTTTTATTTCTTTTTTTTTAAATTGGCTGCTCTTTGACATGTAGGTGAAAGGAACACGTGCTGCCTTGAAGCTATCTATATACAGGGAGTATTAGTTGTATTAGCCCTATATTCCATAACCTCTATTACTTTGAAAGAGAGTGAACAAGTTGCTTTTTTAGAACATCTCCCAGCTTCCTTTAACAATGGTATCAATCTTCAAAAGAAACAGATCCCCTTGGGCTCATATTGACTTCCAAAACCATAAGTTTACATTATCTTGTATTATATTTTTATTTATTTTTTTAAATATATCCCAGTTACATTTTAAGCTGGTTCAGGTTGCATTAGGGAGTTTTGTGGACAGCTTGATATCTCTGCTTATACAAAATTTGATGCAGTGATTTCCTACTGGTTAGCTCCATTTGAGTACAGATCCCTGTCTCTGTGGTTCAGGCCTTGAATTGACCAGTACTTTATTAAATACCATAACCACAAATTGTACTTCTAATTCTAGTAGATATAGGTAGATGTCTTACAAATTCCTACTCTAGATCATGAGGGGACTCAGTTGAGTGTTAGGTTACTCATATCAGAGCACATGATAATAAGTAGCATCGTGATAATAAGTGGCATCTTTGTAGATGAGGGCAAAGGGTGTGGTATTGGATCAAGCTTGGATTCAAGAAATTCTGGAGTCAAGAAAGGTGTGGGTTTATTGGAATCTCATCCCTTGATATTTTGATAAGTGATTGAAATTCTGTAAACCTTAGTTTATTCATCTGCAAAATTGGGGTAACATACCTACATCAGAGTTTTTAATATCAAGTGATAATGTATGCAAATCACAAATTCTGTGTAAATGTTATTATAATTTGTAGAGGATGGTACATTCTTTGTTCTATACAGGAACTATCAAAATGTTGACTGTCACCCTTCTGCTTCTCCCTTCTGAAAGCAGCACTCCTGAACTGGAGCTGTTGGTCATAGTTTTCACATAGTATGGATTTTCATGCATTTGTTTTACCCTGCCATCTGTTCCCATTGGTCAAGCAGAGACAACCCACTAGCTGCCCCCAGCCTTAGCCAGGAGCCTTTTTCATATAGTGGGTTGATTCCAAACAGCTGCTGTGCAGAGAGTTCCATGGTTATGTTTCTCTTTCTAGGACTGAGAGGGATGCTTCAAACTGGTCCACTGATAAGCTGAAATCCCTGTTTCTGGCGATCCAAGTGCAAGGGGAAGAGGGCAACTGTGAGGTGACAGAAGTGAGCAAGCTTGATGGAGAAGCGTCAATCAACAATCGCAAAGGCAAACTCATTTTCTTCTATGAGTGGACTATCAAACTGAACTGGACAGGTGGGTCTGTGCCAGCTTTCTGGCAGGATATGGGTGTCTGCATTTCACTTTAAATGCTAGTGACTCCAGTACCTGACACAGTACTTTGTGCATGGCTGTCACGTGGTAAATATTTGTTAAATGGATGGCTGTGACAAGCTGAAACCATCTCTTTGTGAGAAAGGAAAGGAATACATACTGCCTTGAAACTTTGTGCAAAGAGTATTAGTTGTTTTAGCCCAATATACTATAACCTCTGTGACTTTGTCAGTGAGTGAACAAGTTGTATTTTTTTAGACCATCCACCAGGTTTCTTCGAGCAGTTAAGCACATCTGCCTCTAAAATGATATAGAACATTTCACTTGTACTACTCTTAGCCTCCTGGACATTTGGAAAAATCTTAATTCTAATTAAGGTCTTCACTTACACTTCTCCACAGTACTCCCTTCAATATTTTCAATGAAGGATATTTGTGATCATAATCATAATTGGCTTAACCCTGAGCCCTCTTTTGTGATCACTTAGGCAGTGAATTCTAGAGAGAAGCAACATGGCATAATGAATAAAGAGCTGGCCTGGAAGACCTGGTATAAGTCTTGCCTTTGACATACTAGTTGTATGAATATGGGCAAGTTACTTAACTCTGAGTGCCTTAAGCAACTCCTTAAGCCAAGTGAGATAGAGCAAATATAGATTTGCTTTACTAAAAAGAGTTTCCTAATGAAATCAAAAGTTTAATAAAATTAAGAAATCAAATGTCTCAAGTAAAAGTGGGAACACAAGAAGGTCCCTGTTAAACTTGGGGGCTGGGCAAAGTAATCCATAAAATCTCAGATTTTAATCTCATTGATAGTAACCAGTTAATGGGGCCCACAGGTGGCAAAGCCCCTGCTAACTAAGGAAAGAAACAAAAGGATCTGACAGAGCACAATCTTGTTGGCAGGTACTTCTAAGTCAGGAGTGAAATACAAGGGACACGTGGAGATCCCCAACTTGTCAGATGAAAACAACGTCAATGAAGTGGAGGTTTGCATTTTCTGATCCTTCATCTCTAAGGCTTCCTTCCTTCCTCCCTCCCTCTTTCCCTCTCCTTTTTTCTTCTTCCTTTCTTTGCACCTTTCTTTCCTTCCTTGGAAAGAAATGACATAATTAAAATTAATACAGGATTGAGCCAGATACTCAGAGTCTCATTGTACAACATGACCATTTCCAAGAACTTAGGTCAATTGAGACCTTACAAAGCAACTTAGGCTTAATCATATTGTAAATTATTCTCACCCTACCCCACTGAGTTAATTTTATTCATCTGAAGACTTGTGGTTTTTAAAGCTATCCACCATTGCCGTGACAGAAAAAGACCTTTGAAAGAATATTTTAAATGGACCTTTTGTGTGAGGCAGGGTATTGAATCCCTGAATACATGTTTTCTTTGGAAGTGTGATCTGTAATCATGTAACTGTTTAACTTCTACATCTAGCACCAAAGGTAAGAGGGTTTTTGCTTAAGCCTCTCACCTCTCTCAGGTTATTTACAGTCTGGTTCTCCACTCAGGTTAGTGTGAGCCTTGCCAAAGATGAGCCTGACACAACCCTGTTGGCCTTAATGAAGAAAGAAGGTGTGACAAAGATCCGAGATGCAGTAGAAACTTATATCAGGACTCTTAAAACAGGTATGCCTTTGGCCAAGCCACTCTTGTTTCTTGTTCTGTTTGAGGATTAAGACGAATTAAGAACCCTTTGCCCATTGGAATCCAAAGGTGGGGAGAGTTTGGTCTATCTCAGGGCTGTTAATTTTTTAGGGCTGGGGAGATATGAGATCCAGAGATGTAGCACCCCCTTCTTACAATTTTAGAATAAATGAGGTACTATTTAAATGTTCCTATCAGAGCTGGGTATTAGTCAGCATGTAACTCAGTCCTGAAATTGGTGGCTTTCTGGACACTTTCTATACTAGGTTACAGGTACTTTTGTTACAACAGAGAATCAAGCTACAGAACACACTTTAGAAAAGTAAATGTGTTTCATATGTGGAGACTGAGCTCACTTAAAACAAGTGCAGTTTGACACATTACATTATACAACCCATAGATCCCAGTAAAGATTAAACTTGAGATTAACTATCTTGTCTTCCCTTTTTAGCTTCATATAACATACAGGGGCACATTATGCTTAATGTCATTATTTGCCTCTGTGAAAATAGTGTCAGTTGTTATGGCCTACGAAGTTTTTGCTAAAATATGTTGGCTGAACAGTGTTATGAGGGGTTTCAAATACTTATATTTGAAACTAGTGTCTGTTTAGACAGTTTTTCTGTTCATTTCTTCCTCATAGGATTGGTTCCTTCTATAGTACCCAGGACAAATGCCTCAAATTTGCTAGTAAGTAACCCTGTGGCTGGGATTGTGTCTTTGCAGAATTCACACAGGGCATGATCTTACCTACTCTGAATGGTGAGACAATAGATCCAGCCCCGCAGCTGCCAGTGAAAGCTGAGGAGTCCAAAGTAAGTGGCACTTTCTGTGTATGGCAAGAGTTGAGAGCAAGCCAGGGAAATGAGGGGTGTCAAGAACTACACAGCTACTTAGCTCCCTCTGAAGGGAAGACTTGTCTTTTAAATGAATAAAAATAAACACGTTATAAGTACGTTGTCTGTCTTTTCCCTTCCACTGCAAATCCAAAGTGTTTACAAACTAGGAGCAAGCTAAGATTTGAACAGTCTAAAGTAGCCTTATTTTACATGTCTCTCGGGTGTCTGAAACTTAACCAATCTATTTCAAAAAATTTCATTCATCACCAGTCGTGTTGGCACAGAATTATTCATTGTGGCTTCCACTTGTATATATCTCTTTCACACAGTCCTTAATTTGTATTGTGGCTACTAGATAACTCTGTGAGGCCTTATCTTCAGTTTATCTAATGGTCTGACTATTGCCCCTTCTCACCAAGAAATACTGTGTCACACTGTCCAGTTGGGCGGATTTTTGATCCAGTATCATGTACTTAGTATGTTCTTGGAGGGTATATAAGGGTTAACCTGAACAGCGTAACTCTAAGCATTATAAGTAGAAAAGATTTTTTTTAACATAAAGAGTTGCCTGAGAGTAACAGTTAAATACTTTAAAAGCTTATGCTTCCTAGAAAGGTGCCTGACGATTCAAACCCTCCTCTGTCTGGCTTTTCCTTGATTCTGATTTCCTTTAAGTAAGCTTAACAGATTCTCTGTCAAATAGATTGATCAATTTTGGGTATGAGAAGGTCTGTTAGGTCTTTTCCCAAAACATGCTTTGGGATATAATGGAAAAATTATCAGACTTGGCTCTGACATGTATTAACTTCCACATGGCCCTTTAACATAGGAATGCTATTATGTCTCACTACCTGCTCCACAGAATTATGAGGAAAGTGCTTTGTAAACCTTAATAGGTTATTAGATAAATGAGTTGCTGATTGCACTATTAGACAACAAATTGATGATTGGCACCATTCCACAGGTCAAACCTGGTACTTTGGCAAGTCAGCCTAAAACCGTTGGCGTCAAGATCCCTACCTGCAAGATCGTTCTGAAAGACACTTTCTTAACATCACCAGAGGAGCTCTTTAGGGTGTTTGTCACCCAGGAGGTAAGCGTGAGGCTTGCACAAAATCTGTTATGCCCAGGTTAAGGTATGCTTTTCCAAGTGACTTGGCATTTGTATAGAAAGCAATTCTTCCTACTTCTGGCATCTAGAGAAGCACTGCCGTACTCTGTTGTTTCATTAGCCTAGTTACTGCCTAAACCCTAGGCCTTAAGGCTAGGGGTTCTTGATTTGGGTAGGGAAAAAATTATATATTTATTTTCACTAAATTCATTGAAATTTAGCATTTCCTTCAAGTAATCATTTAAAAAAAAAAAACAAACTTTGAAGAGTCCGTGAACTTGACCAGATTGCCAAAGGAATCTATGACAAAAAAAAAGTTATGGACCCCTAGCCCAAGGTATACAAGACATGTTGAGTCACCTCAGAGTGAACTAGTGAACTTGCCTTTATAGGTCTCCCCCCCTTTTACTACCTCCCCTTCCCCATACTTACTAATGGTTGAGAGGTTCCTCTTCTCCATTCCCCCTCCCCCAAAAGTGCGATTTGAATAATTCTTCCTCTTTGAATGATGTCAAGGACCCAGAAAGAAATTCTAAATATAATAAAAATGATCTATTACAAGATTAAATAGGACTAGATAAAGCATAACCAGTCATTTCAAAAAGGACTGAAGTAGAGATTAAAGAACGAGTCTGCTTGCAGCCTGAATGTGCCTCCTAGATCTCATTCACAGGACGATGGATGGAGCTGTGACTGGCCAGAGGTCAATGTGGTTAATAACAGTGAGGGAAGCCAGCTCCAGGACTGGGAACTTAGGTATAATTATGGGCCTGTGGCTGCACTCGTTTGTAAATAAACTTGCTAAGTGTAAGAACTGAATGAGGCCAAGAATGTCCCTGATGGAATAATCGCTGGGTCCTAAGAAAGCCCAGGCCCTACTACTCACCCTCTTCTCTTGTCCTTGCAGATGGTTCAGGCCTTCACCCATGCTTCTGCTGTGTTGGAAGCAGATAAGGGGGGAAAGTTCCACTTATTGGATGGCAATGTCACTGGGGAGTTCTTAGATCTGGTGAGTGCTGCCTGTGCCTGGACCCTATTTCAAGAGCTACCCTATTTCAAGAGCTGCCCCATGAGAACAGTACTTTTCCTCACCTTTGTAGCTAAAGTTGGCACCCTTAACCTTTTGTTACAGTTACAACTAGATTATTCTAAATGAATAGCTGTTTAAATTTGTATCACAATCAAGATACAGATACAGGAAAAATGTAGCCAAAGGCTGATTACAGTGTTAAAACTGTACCTGATCCAGTTTGATTGGGCCTAATTTAGGGGCTGTAGAAGTTAACACACGTGAACTGCTTTGTCCTCTCAGCCGCAGAATTTTTTGGATGACACTATATGATTTCAGCCTGTGCTTGGGAGAGTGCAAGGGGGAGGAGGGAGGCTAATTCAGAAGGCAAGTCTTGACCAGACTGACTTTTTTCATGTTTATAGGTCCCTGAAAACAAGATTGTGATGAAATGGAGGTTTAAGTCTTGGCCTGATGGTAAATGTCTCTTCTTTTATTGTATGTATCCCTAAACTAAGCAATGGAATTGGGGTCTACTAAGTCCTGAAATGGTTTGTGGGAATCTTTGAGGTAGTAACATTCTTGGGTCAGTTCTGAGCTTGGGACAAGCTTATATTCAACCATTTCCCACATAGAACGTGGAGCTAATTCCCACTAGAAAAATCTAAACCTCTCAGACTGGAAAGCACTGTTAAGGGAGAGGGATTTGAGGAATTGGGTCTCCTTCGAATGAGATTTTTAGAGTGAAATTTGAAGTCCTAATGACTTGTTTGACTCCTCCGCAGGACACTTTGCTACCATTACCTTGACTTTTATTGACAAAGATGGAGAGACAGAGCTTCTCATGGAAGGCAAAGGCATCCCATCACCAGAGGAGGAACGGACAAGACAGGGCTGGCAGCGGTACTATTTTGAGAGCATCAAACAGACCTTTGGCTATGGCGCACGCTTATTCTAACGTTAACTTCTCCAGGGCCACGGCCCACCCAGCAGCTCAGTCCAGCTCTCTACTGTCCTGCAGCTGTGACTGGCAGGATTGCACCATCCCAACCACTACTGTGGGGCCTAGGCTCCCTCCCCATTCATATACCGTGGGTTCGTGCATGTTTTCTGCTGGGCGGGATCAGACAGTGAATTCTCTTTTATGTGTACATACGCTAAATAAACATAACTTAAAAAAAACATGTGGAAGCAGTGTCCATATCTCAGCTTGGAGCTGTGGGATGAAGAATCTTTGTATAGGCAACTGGTTTTCTTTAGATTTGAAATCAAGGAAAGTAAGATAGGAGGAGTTTGTTGCTGATCACACATACCATCTGTGTATGTTCCACCAGTGGAATAGTTTGGAGAAAGTGTGATGTTTGGGTTTGGGAAGAGACTGCTTCCTACGAGCCAAATAAGACCCATTTGTTTCCTTAATAGTGCTCAAGAGCACAACAGTTGAATGTAAGAAGAATCGCACAGTGCTAGAAAGTATCAAACTATTCCAATAAACAATGTATTAAATTCACATAGTAAAGTTAGTGTCAAAATTGGGCCTAATCCATACCTGGTTCATAGTTCCTTGGTCTTTTCATGGTATACCATTCTGCTTTGACCTTACTTCTAGGGGTGACCAGATACTGAGTTCTTTCCCTCTTTGGCCCCAAAACATTTGGTCGCCAATCTAAGCTTCATTTTCAATGATGTTATAAGTAAAACATTTCTCCCCTCCTCTCTTACTCCGTAGAATGGAGGAGTGGGGAACACATGGAGGATTCAAATTTGTCATTTGGGTTATTCCCACATCACTAATTGATTAGGCATCCCTAGAAATTGAGCTCTTCGAGAGCAGGATTTACATTGTTAGGGTTTTACACCCAATTTAGCACTTGATGTGTGTTGACTTCTTGGGTGTTCTGATGAGGGAAATGGGAGTTTTCTCAACTTTCTGGTTCTTAGTGGATATAGTACCTGGCGCTTCACACTTGAAAACACCTAGACTCTCGGAGTATTTCTTCTTGTACAGAAGCTATGATGCTGATGGCCAAGGCTTCAAAGTAAGCCAGAGTCTCAGCTTTTAAGAGAAGCTCAAAATTCAGACCCCAAACAACTTTCTTAGGCTTGTATTCCTCAGAAAGTACTATGGCATTGGGGTAACCTCACTGGAGTAGGAATCACAGAATCAGGTTTAAAGTTCCCAAGGGATTGTAGAGGCCACACAATCCAAACACTGGATAGATGCCTGGATGTAGTATGTCCCTTGCCCAAGGTCACAGGGATGATATATTGTGGCAGAGCTGGAATCTGAATACAGATCCTTTAATTCCAAAGTCAATGGGCTTGCCATGGAGATCTGTGACCCTGGACAGATCAATCTCTCTTTAGCCTCTATTTCTTCAGCTGTAAAATAAGGACAGTAGTTCTTGCATTACGTATCTTACTGGACTATTATTGGTAGGATTAAATGAGGAAATGGATATTAAAGAGCTCTGGGAATAAATAAAATGGGCTTTAGGGGCCCTAGGTGGCACAGTGGATACAGTGCCAGGCTTGAAGTCCAAAAGACTCATCTTCCTGAGTTCAAATCTGACCTCAGACACTAGCTATATGACTGTGAGCAAGTCACTTAATCCTGTTTGCTTCAGTTTTCTCATCTGTAAAATGAGCTGGTGAAGGAAAGGGAAATCCACTCTAGTATCTCTGCCAAGAAAACCCCAAATGGGGTCATGAAGAGTCAGGACCAAAATGACTGAAAACAATAACCACCATAAAATGATACAGAATGGTAAGCTATTATTGGGAGCTATCCAAGATCTTTGAATGTGGAGAGTGGACCTCATAGTGAAACAGTATCTCCAGGGCATTTGGAGTATCATTATTGGTATTTCCTATACTGACAACTTCTGGAAGAAAAGTTACAAATAAACTCTTTAAAGAAGAGCTCTGGATACTAGTCCTGAGTCTTAGCCACACTATCTTCCAGGTAGATGCCACTAGTGAACAAAAAGCTATTCTTATGCATTATAGATGCTCAAATGATTTGGAAGGCTAACCAATGCACCTAAAAGGTACAAAGCAGAAATGTATCTATGTGTACTATAAATATCCAATCCCAACACCAGAAAAGCTCATTTCCTTTTCTTTCTCCTCCAAAGTTAAAAGAAACTACCCTGTGCCCTATACCAGAACTGTAATTCTGAAATGAATCTAGTCAATTTGCAAATCTTAAATAGTTACTTCAATATGAACATCCAATTAAAATAGAGGAATCAATGGAGGTAGCTATATCCTCTTTGGGGATTGAGGGAGTGAAGGAGAGAAGGGTCTGAAAAAAGTGGGGTTTTTGGGGTTTTTTTTTTTTGTATTTTGGGAGATGGAAAGAATCCAATGGATTTTTTTTTTTAAATCAGCTCCTAGGAGAAAGAAGGTATCCATCCTTGTCTAATATAGAACTGAGTTGGACAGAGTTTATTGAGCCAGGCTTTCTGAAAGATTAAGTTTTCCCAAAAGATCGAGGGAAGAAAGTACTATAACAGCTTTGGGGGAAATTACCTGAGCGATTAGTGCACAGAGCCATTGTTGAATGAGTGGTTTTCAATAATCATAATAGTTTTTAGAGCTACAAGGGACCTTAGCAGCCAACTAGTCCAATTATTCTCCCATTTTACAGATGAGGAGACTGGAACTCAGGTTAGGGGACTTGCCTAGCATCACAGTGTCAGCAGTCCTAGACATTTGTTTAGACAGAGGGTGAGGATGTCTATTTGACCAAAGGTGGGATTAATGAATGGGAATTCTTCTGCTAAAACACAGTGGGGTGGTGGTGATGGAGTAATGAAATGGATCGATTTCATAGATCCCTTCTCTGGGTGTTAGCTTGCAACCAGGCTCTCTTGGTAGTGCCCACTCACCCTCTTTCCAGGTTCTACAGTATCCCATTCTTATTTCACCTTAAGCATAGGTGCTGTTCCTACCTGGAGGCACTTGTGTGTCTATTATCTTTCTTGTCTTGGATAATCACTTCAAAGTGCCACCCATTCCCAACCCCAACATGGTTCTTACCACTTGGGGTTCAGTTTCTTTTGCCAGTGATTTGATATGGTAGCAATTTCATATGTGTCCCATTTCACACATTAAATTTAGTTCGGTCTATAGACAAATCACTTATTCTTTCACTGCCCCTAGTCAAGTCTAAAGATTTATTAGTTACTTATCTTTCCACTCTGGAAACTCTCTGAACTGATATAATCACACATTACCAAAAAAACCTGGCACAGTGGAAATTAACAGTGTTCCAATTTACAAGTGGACAGTGTTGCAAACTGGTTGTCACAGGAGGCACCGCCTCCAGCCTAAAATGCGTTTATTGCTATTGTTGCCAGGTTCATGAAACAAAAAGAACAAAACTGCCCTGTGCAATGTGCACAAATAGACTGGAGTAAGAAGGTATCTGGCTATCAAAATTCCACGGGGGCGTCATTGATGACTGAAGAATATACTTTCCCTTATTATTATTTCCCAACTTATCCTCCTGTTCCCTTGTCCCAGTACTAATACTGAAATAACTTTGAGATCTCATTGATATGCCCTCTGGGGATACACATCACAACCAATCCATGCCTACCCACCCTGTGCAACCCTTACAATGTCTTCCCATAAATTTGCCTTGGGAGGTCCACGCAACATGCAGGGTCATTTAAATTCTCTTGACATCTTGATACCATGGGTCATTATGACTCCCTCTCATCACACAGCTAGTATATCTTTTCCTATCATACATTTGTTCAATGACAGCCTTTACCCCACTTCACCTTCAAATGCCCTTGTTTGCAGGGTATTGGCAGCCTGTTGGAGAGTCCAGTGTGTGCCTCTGCCTAGCCTTTGGGGTGGTCCTCAACTCCAATTCTTCAGAGACTGTAATGTTTCATTGCTTCTGGCTCTACAATTTCCCCAAACACCAAGAGTTACAAATGTACAGAGGAAAGAATGCCAGCATTGGAGTCAGGAACCCAGAGTTCTATCCTAGCTCTGCTACTATTCATATTCACCCAATGACAAGGCAAACCACGTTTCCTTTCTGGACTTTAGTTTTCTCACCTGTATGATGAAGGATGATCCTCAAGATCCCTTCCTATAATGCTGTTGTGATTTATCCTATAAAAGAGGGCAGTGGAGATCTTGCAGCCCAAAACTGGCCTCAGTTGGGGCAGCTTGGTAGTGCAACGGATAGAACCCAGGGCCTGGTGTCAGTAAGACATGAGTTCAAATTTGGCTTCAAACACTTACTATTTGTGTGACCCTGGGCAAGTCACTTAATTTCTGTTTTCCTCAGTTTCCTCACTTGTAAAATGGGTGTAATAATAGCACCAGGATTGATGTGAAGATCAAATGAGGTAATTGTAAAGTGCTTAGTACAGTGCGTGGCACATAGTAAGTGCTTTGTAAGTGTTAGCTATTGCTAGTGGGCCCTTCTCTAACAAGAGGATCTGTGAAGTGGGGGCAACCACCCCCGACATAAATGGGAGTACATCCTTTGGCCTCTGAAACAGTCCTCTACAAATTTGCTTTGAATACAGGGGCTAGGCTCAAAATTAAGTAGCCAGATGAATTGTCAGCTTTCAAGTGAAGAAGAAAGAGACAGGGAAGAGAGACAGGCCAGGGAACACTGGTTCCCACTACCAGGCAGAGATGACAGAAAGTTCTCATAGGAGCTTCTGGAAGAGCTGGGAGAGGCAATCCAAACATATCTGGACTGGCACTTTGTAGGTCATATTACAGAGCCAGTGGGAGCCCTGACAGCCAACATTCCTTCCTCTCACCCCAGCCTAAGTTGGAGCAGGTGTAGGGGCAGCTGAGAAGACTGAGGGTACTCCAGGCAAGTACCATTGCTGTCCTGGGTGAGCACTCTCTAATGCAGCAAAGTAAATTTGCACTTCTGCATGATTCAAATGCACATGAGTACAGAAAGAAAGAAGTACCCTTTCAAGTGTTAGTCCAGATTTTGATAAAATTGCTAAATGCATGGTGATCTAATGTCCCCCTCCCCTTGCCTCCCATGCCTGCCTATTAAAGTGCAAAAAGAGTTTCAGGAGCCAAATAGCCAGTTGTCATTGGATTGTCCTGCCCTGCTCACATCTCCCTATAAGGTGAATCCCAAACCCTCATAAGCAATCCTTAATGAGGACAGCTTCCTTTCAGTGCCCTCCTAAGAGCCTTAGCAAGGTAGGCTATAGGCTATTCAAATCCATTTCAATCACCCCTGGATTCCTCCCACTGCTCCCTACTTTACCAGGCAGTGGTTTCAAATAAAGTGCTTTATTGCTGAAGATCCAAAAAGATCCCATTGCAGCTCATTCAGTCTCCTTTATCCTCTTTCCTACACTCCAAAGAACTTGGTAACAAGTAACAGCTGGGACTAAAGCAAGTTAACCCCTCACAGAGAGAAGCTACATGACATTGCAACCCAGGATGGAAAAGAGGGGCCGCAGAGAGCTGGAGTAAGACAACAGGAAATGAGGGGCTTTTAGGTGTTGGGAGGGGAATACATATGGAGTAGAGATTTGCACACCATTCTAAGTAAACCAAAGCCCTATCCCAGATTTTGTAGCTATAAGAACCACCCTTCTTCAATCCTGCCCTATTCTGACATCCAATCACATCTTCACTCAGGCCTTCACATTCCCATTGTGGGAATGGAACTGGGAGCAAAATATCCATAGGATAGAGAGCAAGGGTTGGGATCAGCATGAACATCCCCTTCTCCTCTTCCCTGGTTGGATACCATTCCCCTAGCCCTAATCCAACCAATCCAGTTCTTACCACCTTTCCTCCTTACAACACATCCAGGTCATACACCTGCTTCAGACCTTAATGCCTTTGTGGGATTGCTTTGATGCAGACTAAGGAACTATTGACACAAGTGGACAGTTCATGAATCTATCCCAAGCACTCTGTGGGCTGAAGATGCCTGGCATCTTGCATTACTCTCCCTGTCCAGATGCCTACACAACATTACCCCCAAACAACAGAAGTGTATTACCTTATGGGGAAAATAGGAGGGTGGTGGCATTGAGGTACTCAGCCAGACTCTTGGGGAAGGGGTGGGGAGAGTGAATGAGGTATGTGCCCCTTTACAGAACTGGCTGAAGCCAAAGTAACTGTCCCAGAGATGTCTGGCAGTGGCAATAATGTTCACCTGCTCTATTTGCTCAGACCCCTCGGAAAGGAGGTAGGGAAGACATGGAATTGGAGAAATCTGAGTGACTGGGTCCTCCTGTCACTAGTCCTCAACTAACCCTTAATCATTCCCCAGATTCTCAGAGAGTCAGTGGAGATGAAGGTGCTTATCTCCAATTCAACTAAGCCACTCCTAAGATCCATTAAGCAAGACTTAAGTTCCCAACCCTTCTCCCCAAGAAACTGGAGTCTGGTTGGATGGCTATGCCAAAACTTGTGTCCATACCAATATGATGAGGACACAGGAACCTGGGGATGAGAGGAAAACAAGTTTCCTTGCAGGAGGGCAAGAGAGAGAGGTTGGGGGATAGGAGAGCTGAATCCATGGGGCTATTAAGAGCTTTTTGAATGACATGCCCCTCTTTTCTCCACCCAGAACCCAAGGATGTGCTGATCTAAGACCAACCTTTCACTCACTCTATTTGTCTCTGTCTCTGTCTCTTGTCTCTGTCTCTCCCTCTCTCTCTCTCTCACACACACACACATACACACACACTCACTCACTCACTCACTCTTTCTTCACCTTCCACATTCCAAACAAGAAAGTGACAGGTGAAGCCAATAAACTGAGAAGTCCCTCTTTCAGGGAGACTTCTCATTCCACTAAATGGGGAGAAATCATGCAAGGTCAGAGATGCCCAGAAAAACCCTCCCCCATCGAGCAGCTTGGCATAGATACCCCAACTGTGAGGTGTTCTTACCCTACCCTTTTCCAGATATTCCTAGGGAGCAGCCAACAGGACCCCATGGCCTCTGGCCCAGCCACCAAAGCCAAAGTCAAGCCTCCATCCATCCTCCATGTTTTGGGCCTCCCTGACCCTTTGGTTAATACTCTTTGGCCTCCTGCAACTGGGCCAAGTATTCTTCCTCAGGTGGGTTGTCAGCACAGGCCCGCCCATTGTTTGGGGGTCGTGCTGTGTGGTAGCGGCTCCAGTCACCTTTGCACAGGATCCAAGGCAGTGTGTCCACCTTGAAGTGCAGCTCTGGGGAGAAGTCAGTGCTGATGAGGTCAGGTGCGCCAGCCCCCTTACCACGAGTCAGCAGCCGACTGCCCTCATCATAGCAGCAGTGCTGGGCAGCCAGCGTGGTACTGTCCAAAGAGAGGAGGGAGCGCAGGCAGAAGCGGGCAGTTGGCTGATAAACATCCAGGCGCTCCTTGGGGCCACTTGCATCCCTCCAGCGAAAGCTTCTGCCTTGCTGCTCATCTGGAAGGCTCACAGCACTGTACACGGCCTCCAGAGGATAGGCACAGGGGCAGCTGGGCAGATCTGTCAGCACCTTACTCATGTATTTAGCCAAGAAGTCACTCTTGCAGTTTAGCCACTTCTCACAGCTGTCCACCTCTGGGCAGGAGAAAGGAAGGAATCCATTTTGACTTAGCACAGTGTTGGTGTTCAATAAATCAATGCTAATTGAGAAAATAATGAATGAGGGGGACACAATCATTCCCTTCTTATCCTCCTCAAAGCATTCAGTAGTCATTATGAACTTGGCAATGAGAGCCTACATTTGTAAAAGTCTCTAAGTCTTAAAGGTCTTTTCCCCTAAACTGCTGTCAGTGACTCTGGGAGTTGGAATCCGAGTAAGAGGCCAGTTGGGCAAGGTCAGTAGGAAACACTCCTTTCTCCTTACCCTGCTCCTCAAACTCCTATTCGGGAGGAAGGAGTCCAAGGAGACCTACTGTAGCTACAGCTGGGGAGAGACTGCCCCTCCTTCTCAGGACCACCATGGCAATTTGGTCCTTTCAGAGAACCACAGAATTCCAGAGATGGCAGAGACCTCCAGAGGTTATCTAGTTTGGTTCATTTTACCTGGAGCATGTGCTGTCACCACAGTCAAGCAGCCCATGCTTGAACACCTCCAACATCAGGGGCCACATTAACTTGCAGGTATGTCCCATTTCATTTTGGAGCAGCTCTAATTACTAGGAAGGGAGATTAGATTTGGTGCCTGAGCTGGGAGCTTCACATACACCATCTCGGACATACACCATAGGGAGCATCCCTGAAAAAGGGTAATCTGGGAGAGAAGGTGCCGTATCCCACACAGACAGGCATTAAAAGAGCTAAGGTTCAGTCTTATTTGGGGCACTCTTTAGTTTTGTGATACAGATAAAATTTCTGGGGCTTAATTTCCTAATTTGCCAAATGGGACCTGACCCTGTTGACCTCACCACTGAGGATCCCACTGTGATGAGGATTAAAGAGATGACAGGATCATAGAGCTAGGGCTGGGAGAGACCTCAGACGCCATCTAATGCAACCTTCTCATTTTACAGATGAGGAAACTGAGGCCCAGGGAAATTAACTCACGCAGATAGCAAGCAGCAGAGGCAGATTTTGAACCCAAATTCTTCATTCTCAAAGAGGACCAATGATCCTAGCAGGATGATGTATTGACTTATAAGTGAACTGGATTTAAGTGAGGCAGAGCTATGCTAAGGCATCAGTCTCACTGTCTCCTCCACAGTCATCGGAGTCCAGTGACAAGACATAGGTCAAGGTGACTGGTGATAGCCCAGGATACGGTGGGAGATCTTGGCCTTTTTAAGCTAAGGTCTTTCTCAAGTCTCAGTTTGTGGGAGGCAATGCCCATTCAGTAGTGAAGGGCCAGGTAAGAGCTGAGGCATAAGATGGCCTAGTTTGCCTTCATAAAAGAATCCATCTGGGAGGGGAAGACCCTCAGAGTTTTTCACCTTGAAAAGTATGAAGCATGGCAATGCTATGACTACTTCACTATTCTTCTAATTCAGTGTCCTGTCCTTTTTTTTTTTTTAACTAAGTCAAGACACAAAAAGGTCATATATTTGAAATACGCTGATGATATCTGTTAGCAGGCAATACCATCTCCCTACCTCTCAAGTCATTATTCAGTGTTCCCTAAGTTCAAGGCAAGAATGACCTTGCCCCTCTGATACAATGAGGAAGAAAGTGAGGGCTTCAGAGAATCAGCTCAGTCCCCTCATCCCATTTCCCTGATCATACTGGATTCCATTAGGCATCCTGAAGTGATTAGCTGGGTAGGAAATGTAGCGGTTAGCCTGGGACTTCTAGTTCTTTCCGCAAGTGAAGAAAAACCTTGCTAGAATGAGGGAACTGCATGGCTCAGAAAGGCAGGGATGACCATACTTACTATTAATTGGGGTTGCTCTACATCAATAGACTACCTGAAAAGCAACTGTGTTTGGTCACTGATACAGGTCTCAAGTGGAAGCTGTCAGATGACAGATGATTCATGCTTCTGGTAAGGAGTTGGACCAGATGACCTTTAGGCTCAAAGAATCAGAGATTTTAGAGCTGAAATGGTCCTCAGAGGCTGTCTAGTTTAAAGCTCCTAGTTTGCAGGAGGAAACAGGCATAGAGAATTTAAATGATTTGTCCAAAAGGACAGCTAATAAGTCTGAGGGAGAATTTGAACCCCTATTTGCCTGGCCCCAAGTCCAGGGCCCCATTCACTATCCCATGCTGTCTCTGGAAAAGTGAGGGGCAATAATGTTGTTCAGTCATGTCTGACTCTTTGTGACATCGTATAGGGTTTTCTTGGCAAAGATACTAGAGTGGCTTGCCATTTCTATCTCCAGTGAATTAAGGAAAGAGATTAAGTGACTTGCCCAGCGTCACATAGCTAGTGAGTGTTAGAGGTTGGATTTGAATTCAGGTCTTCTTGATTCCAGGTCCAGTGCTCTATCCACTGAACCACCTAGTTTGTCTCCAAGATGCAATGTAGTGTAGTGTAAAGAACACTAGACCTAGGATGTCATGGGTCTGGTTTCAAATCCTGACTCTGATACCTGATAGCTACATGACCTTGACCAAGTCATGTAACTTCTCTGTGCCTCAGTTCCCTCATCGGTAAAGCAGTGATAATGATACTTGCATGACTGCCTCAGAGGGTTATTGTGAATTAAGTGTTCAAACTTTAAAATGCTATATAAATGTGAATTACTTCCTCTCTTCCCAGAATGGGAAGAAATACAACTCTAAGGCTCTTTGTGACCAGCCCAAACCTTAATCAGAGGACTGCTACATTATTATTTGATTGAGGAGAGAGATTTCTTATCCATGTGAAGTTTCATAGTCGATGATTCTATCCCTATCCCTCCACTCCCGGCCCCATCCCCACTACCACCCCAATTCCTCAAGCTCAAGGTCAAACTCCGTACTGACCTGAGCCAAGCATTTGGGTGTCGTTGTGGACTTCAGGCAGCCAATCCTCACTGGGAAAGCCTGTCTTACTTTCTGTTCCTTTAATAAGAATGAAAATCAGTGCAAAGCAGTGACCCCCTCCCCTCCCCAAGTCCCACCAAACTTTCAAGTTCTTAACCCTATTCCTCAACATTGAAGATCCAGTGGGTTGAAGAGGTAGACTTTGGGATTGGAGGTAGGAGATGGACAACAGTGAAACTACACCTGGAGAGTAATAAAGAGCCAATGGATAATCTCAGTAGCTAGGCAGGATCCTTTGTTATTTCCACAGATCACTGGGAAGGTCCAATGGGATCCAAGCTAAGCCTAGGAATTCTTGAGCCATGGGACTACTCCTTGTTCTTCTCCAATACATCCTCACCACCTCACCCCCAAACCTTATACCCTACTTACTGCCATGTAAACATAGGACACCCAATTACCTAGGGCATTTAGTCTAAATGTTCATCCACATTAGCTCATCCACCCTTTACAAGGTTCACACTCTCACCAGGGCACTGAGGCAATTCACACATTCGAGATTCTGTGGCTGTGCAGGCATAGCCACAGGAGCGGGTCCTCTTCTGGGTACCGCTGCTGCAGGTCACGCTGCAAGAGGACCAGGGACTCCATTCTGCTTCCACCTCATAATCTGGGAGCAGAGAAATGAGAATATGATAGATACAGTTGAGATGAGGGGTAGTCTAGGTAAGCAGCTGCTTAGGATATAATGAGAGCAAGAATGGGGAAGGGATGGTATAAGGAGGAACACTTTGGGGTATTTTAAAAAATAAATGTACAGGGGCAGCTACATGGCACAGTGGATAGAGCTCTGGCCTTGGAGTCAGGAGGACCTGAGTTCAAATCCAGTCTCAGACACATGATACTTACTAGCTGTGTGACTCTGAACAAGTCACTTAACCCTGATTGCCTCATCAAAAAATAAAAAATTTAAAAAAAAATGCACAGAAACTTAATGCCAGAAAATTCTATTCTCCATGATATGTAGGTCTTTTATTTTGTGATAAGCTGTACGTGTTACAGTAAAGTTTTGAAACCCTGAATGAAGCTACATTTTTTTTTCATTATAACTGACCTGCCCACAAATGCAACTTGGCTGGGGTCCACAGATGTCTTGCCCCAGCTTTCTTGTGAGACCCCTACCTTGCTGATAACTCCAATGGACCTGAAGTCAGGAGCTGTACCTCGTGTAACCCCAGCACCTGGCACATATAGTGGTGGGTGCCTAATAAATGCTTATTGGTTGACTGATGGTTCTAAATTCACCTGTTAAATTAATTAGGTGAATTTGAGAGTCTAGGAAATTGTCCTGCTTACCTGCTCAGAGATCAGATCTCATTGGTCATATACAGACTCCATACACTATAAACTTCTTAAGAGTATGAATTATTATTATTATTATTTTTTTTTCTTTGTATCTTCAGCACTTAGCACAGTGCTTGGTAGAGGAGGCATTTAATAAATGCTTGTTTACCAATTGATTCTGGTCCTACCTCTGCCAGTGACTTCACAGCCTTGAACAAAGCACTCCATCTGGAGAGGAAGCTCACTACCAGAAGGTCAGCCAACAGTTGAAGTTTATTTTTTAGCCTCTGCAGCTCTTAAAGAAAGAGGCCATCTCTGATTCCAGTTGCCTCCTACCCCACTCATGGTGTAGTGTAGTGGGGTCATACTTGAATTGAAACAGGGCCACTAAACCATACATAAGGATCCTTATAGGTACATATGGATTTAGTTTTGAAATGTAATTTTTAAGTTTTATTGTATTTTTATTTCTTTTGTTAGATATTTCCCAATTATGTTTTAATTTGGTTTGGGCCCCACTTGGAAGCATTATGGGCCATGTGCAGTCCTTGGGTCTAGTGTTTGATACCTCTGGTGTTGTGGATAGAGAGTAGGTCTCAAAGCTGGGAGACCTGGGATCAAGCCCCACTTCTGACACATATGGCTGTGTGACCCTGGTCAAGTCATTTAACCTTTCAATACTCTAGGTAATTCTCTAAGACTATAAGTTGCAGAGAAGGTTCCAGGGCTGACCTGCATTGGTAGTGGCAATTATTTCACCCAGTCCTTGATATCAGTTAAATCACTGGTCTGTTCCCTATCTCTAATTCTTAATACTGTCTCCTATGGCACAGAGGTCTTTTGATATGGCTTGGTGGAAAGATTGCAGAACTAAAGCTGGAAGGGACTTCAGGGTCCATCCAGTCCAATTCTCTCATTTTACAAATGAGGAAACTGAGGCCAAGACAGGTTAAGTGACTTGCCTAAGGCCACAGAGATCATAAGTTCATGGAAAATCAAGAATCATTTAATCAAATGAATTATTATTATTATTATTATTTTATGACCAATCCACCAAAAGAGTGACATCTCCAAGTCTGTCCTTTCCCTATGACACTCTGCTTTCTCTCTTGGACCCTTCTTCCCCTCCTGGAATGTCCCAAGGTGGTGTACACTCCCTGGTGTACCATCTACTCACCATAGTTATATTTCTCCATGAAATCCCAGGTCTTGGGTGTTGGCCACCTCTGATTCCAATTGCTTCCCACTCCACTCAGCATGGGCTCTTCCTCTTCCTCTTCTTCCTCCTCATATTGTGTTGCATAGTCTTCCTCACTGTCCTCCTTTCCCTCTTCCTCTTTGAGGGCTTTTCCCTCTGGCTGGGGCCCAGATCCTCCCTCCTCACCTTCCGTATAGCCCCAGAACAGAGGCCAGAAGAGTTCTTTGGCAGGGAGCCAGCTGGGGGAGCCCAAGGACCAGTAATCACTAGTTTCTGTCAACAAGTCCATCTCCATTTCAGCCTGCAGGTCATCTACCACCTCAATGGTCACCTGGGTGGGGGGGATGCCAGGTTGGGCAGTCAGGGAGATCTCAGCAGCAAAACTGCCACTTCTGTCCACAACAATAGTAATGGTATAGTACTTTACAGTTTACAAAATACTTTCAAACACAGAATCTCATTTTTACCTCATAGTGACCCTATAAGGGTGGCAAGATACCTGCAGGATCACAGATTTTGATCTTAGAATGTAATCTAGTTCAGGGCTTCTTAAACGTTTTCCACTCCGGACCCCTTTTTGTATTTTGGCACTGTTTGTTGGCTTTGTGTGGCCTGAGGGCATGCGCAGTGCTAAGTGGGCATGCTGCCCGTTCAGAACTAAGGCTGCAGCAAAGTTGCATGAGGCAACATGGGCAAGTGCTGCCAGAAACACCGTGGATTCATTACTCATTTGATTTTGAATTAATTTTTGGTCACTGCACGTTCAGAAACGTTTTATTGTTGTCAAATTTTTTGAGACCCTATGGGATTGCAACCCACAGTTTAAGAAGCACTGATCTAGTTCAATCCCCTCATTTTCCATATGAGGAATCTGAAGCCAAGAGAGTGGATTGCCTAGAACTATGCCTAGAACTATTTTTTCCTGTATCTTTTTAAGTTTGTTTGTTTGTTTGTTTAATTGTTTTACAGTGATTCCCTGTCTCCTCCAGGATCAAATATGAAATCCTGTTTGGCATTCAAAGCCCTTCATAATCTAACCCTCTCCTACCTTTCCAGTTTTCTTGCACCTTACTCCCTACTACATACTCTCCCATGCAGTGACACTGGCCTCCTGGCTGTTCCATGAACAAGATACTCCATCTCTTGGCTCTGGGCATTTCTCTGGCCATCCCTCATGCCTGGAATGCTCTCCCTCCTCCACTCTACCTACTGACCTCCTTGGCTTCCTTGAAGTACCAAATAAAATCACATCTGCTACAGGAAGACTTTTGCAACCCTTCTTAACTCTAGTGCCTTCCCTCTTTAATTATTTCCTATATATCCTGTATATAATTTGTTTGTATATATTTGTTTGCATGTTGTCTCTTGTCTCCATTAGATTGTGAGCTTCTGGAGGGCGGGAGCTCTCTTTTATCTTTCTTTGTACCCCCAGAGCTTAGCACAGTGCCTAACACATAGTTATGAGATTAATAAATGTTTTTTGATTGAATGATCTGTGATTTCACTGGTATAGAGCCCTCTGAATGAAGAAACTCCTTCTACCACTAGAAACAGGCAACTTTTACCACTCAGAGTTTTTCAGAGTTACCTAGTCAGAGGTGAGATTTGAGCCTAACTCTCCCAGACTCCAGAGTCAACTCTATCTACTATGCCATGCTGCCTCTCTGCCTGGCACAGAGTAGGCAATTGATAAATGCTTATTGATCAATTTCCCAAGCTCACAGAGTAGTAAGTGGCAAACAGAATTTGAACTTGCTTTCTCTGCCTCCAAAACTGGCATTCTTTCTACTTTAGCAACTTGCCTTCCTCACAAGAATTGTGGTGAAGAGACAAGGAGAGAAGTGCTATATTAATGTGATATTATCAATCAGGGTGATATTATTATTACCCTTCCTGGAGAATGGTGTTGTTTCTGATGTATTCAGGCCATGGCAGGGAGTTACCAGTGTTGGAACACTCCTACACACAATTAGCCTCACTTTCTTCTTGAAGGCTCACTCTGCAAAATGAATGTGTCCAGGCTTGGACACGTACTAGCTATGTGACCGTGGGAAAGTCACATAATCTCTTGGTTCTCTCATCTGTCAAATGCAGGATAATAGCACCAGAGCTGTTGTGAGGATCCCAATTAGCTTGGATAATGAATCCTGGGAAGTGATTGTATTATTTGAATTTTCACTGCATATTTCACTGCGTTGAACTGAAATCAATGACCATATTTTTACATAATTATAAATTTGAATAGTGTGAATTCCACAACATCTGACCACTTCACAGGATGGTTATTTGCACTAATTGGAACCTAGCTGTCATATGTGTAAAATACTACATCAATGCTAGCTTTTATCGACTATTATGATAATACCTGTACTGCCTACCTTGACAGAACAGCTCTTTGTAAACCCCCAAGTGCTAGGCAAATATGATCTGATATTATTGTCCCCATTTGTAAAATTTATAAAATGGGGAAATTGAGGTTCATAGTTAACCTTAACTAAGATCACATGGCTAGTAGGTAGTTGAGCCAAGACTAGAACCCAGGCATCCTGTTCTAAGCCCAGTACTCTTTCATCTTACTTCCCTCCTCTCAGTCGCCTCAAGAGGGAACAACGGACAGAGAAGAGGGAATGAATAGAAAGTTCTCCTTAAATCTTTAAAGGCTGAAGGGGGGGTGCTCTCAGCCCCAACCCCTTTATCCAATCCCTATGGCTTGGGAAATAATGAATCTTCCTAGGGCAAATGGAGAAGAGATTACCTCAGTTTTTCATCTGTTGGGAGCACTGTCCAGGATAAAGGCCAACAGAGTCTAACTGAAATAGCCTGAGTCTGGGAGACAGCTGGGGTTTTGGTTACAACTCTGCCACTAACAAACTGTGTGACCTAGGGAAAAACATTACTCCTCTGGGCCAACATTTCCTTCTCTGCAAAATAGATATTCTAATACTGCCTGTTCTTTCTCTCTTATGGGGCATGACTGTGAGGGAAAAATGAGATTCCAGGACTTTAGGCATCTCAGGGACCATCTAGTTGAACCTGCTCATTTTACAAATAAGGAAACTGAAGCCTAGAGAGGGTAAGTAGGTGGTAAAGCCAGGATTCAAACCCAGGCTTCTAATTTCAGATCTAGTGCTCTTTCCACTTACCATACTAAAAAAGTGCTTACAAAAATAATAGACAGTGGTAATATTATGCTATGATTCAGTATAATATAACATAATATTTGTAACATATGCATGCTATAAAATATAATTATAATTATATGTGGTTATATATTGGAATATAACAATTACAGCATAGGATAATCTGACATAGTAATATTATATAAATATATTAATTATATTATATTATATTATATTACATTATGTTGTGGGATTTTTGCCCACCATTTCTAGAAGCACTGATCAAAGAGTTGAAATTTGGAAGGAACTTTAGAGATTCTACCACAGGGGCAGCTAGGTAGCTCAGTGGATAGAGCATTGGCCCTGGAGTCAGGAGGACCTGACTTCAAATCTGGCTTCAGACACATAACACTAGCTGTGTGACTCTGGGCAAGTCACCTA